CTCGCTTACCGAGAGGCCGGTCAGCTAGAAGTTGCAGATTCTTTTTACAAGCTGGTAGATACGCCTCGTTTATGGGCCCCCAAATTCACCGCTGATGATCTCGCCATTAATTGGGACAATCCGTTTGCCAGCTTCTCTGTGCCACGGCGAGTACTCAATGTAAAATGGTATGACAGCGATGCCAAATGGACCACTGAGAAATAGCCAAAAAGAAAGGGAATCAAAGGAAACTCAAAACGCCAAAATCACGCTTGTCTAGCAATGCTGATAGTCGTACCAAAATGCGTTATGTCACATGAAGCGCGTTGCCGCGCGAACTTGGCAAGAGTGGAAAGGAAATTCAACTTTCGGGCTCAGAAGGATTCCTCGCAAACCAGGTGTGGAGTATGTCTGGTAAGGCGTCTCGTGGGGCCAGTGCCGGCGTGAAGTTCATTCGGGTGTTGCTCGACACGGGAGTTGTTTATTGTTATGCTTGCCGGCATGATCGGTGCTTATGCCTCAAGCCGATGAAGAGGCTTCCTGCGCGCCATCTAGCTTGTCTCTTCGGGCGACTGTGAAGGCAGAGGAAGCAGGTTCGAAAAGGTGAGTCGAATCGACGCTTGACTCTATGGATGTTCACAACCTGCCCAAGTGCTTGCCGGTAGTAGTCGAGGTAACGGGAGGCTCAGTTATGGTGAGGGTTGCTGCAGGTGCAATCACAACTGGAGTTGTTGTTTCATCCTTGCAGCCGAACCAGCCGGGGGTCTTGCAGGTAGTGGTCGAGGTCATGGGAGGTTCAGTTGTGGTGATTGTTGGTGCAGATGTAATATCCGAGGTGGTTGTTGGATCTTTGCAGCCAAACCAGCCAGGGGTCTTGCAGGTGGAGGTGGAGGTGGAGGTCGACGTTGTTTCGCCCGTCGTGGTTGGATCCAAGCAGCCCCACCATCCGGGAGTCTTGCAGGTAGATGTTCTGCTAGTCGTAGTAGACGTGGATGTAGAGGTGGCCGAGGTGGTAGTAGTGATTTCAGAGCCGTTACTGCGGAAAAACTTCCAGAGTTCACAATCGTAGCACTCCTCTTCAGGCGCACAGGGAGGCACATCGTCGTAGCCAGCAAGAACATTCGCAATGACATAGTTAATGCGATGTTTGCTGAGTCCAACACGCCAGCCCTTGTCTTCAACAGTGTCATAGACACACATCTGACCAGTATGGCATGCGGATTCCATGGCGTAGCCACCCCAGGTACAAACCGAGCTAACTCCATTGCAAGTTCCCATGTAGACCGGGTCTGCCGTATGTCCGAAATGATATGATCCAGTGTTCTTACGTGACTGAGGGTAACGTGAGTCATGTCCTGGCGGACTGGGAAGACCCAAACGAGCTGCTGGGAGTGCTTCCGGAACAGCTTCGAAGGTAACAACTGGTACCCCAAATGTCAAGCCTAGCAAGCTGGACACCGCACCACCCAAAGAATGGCCGGTCAGCCAAACGTTGGCATTTGGGTACATCTCGGTGATATTAGAGTAAAGGTCGATTGAGGCGCGATAATATCGGTTCTCATCTAGCATCGCCTCAACAATGCACGTCAGGTTCGCATTGTACAGGGTTGTCTGGCAATCGCAGACTTGCCGCCAGAGGTAAGAGCCCCCCTGGCCACAGCAGCAGCTGAAGAATAGATTGTCGTTAATTTTATCATTTGTAGTAGTGCCCTCGCCATCGAACAAGGCCGGTGAAGTTCCCTTGAGGGAGATGACCACCGTGCTATTGGTCTTATCGGCATATACGTGACCTCGGAGCCCGTCTCCTTGCCACCCAAAACTTCCAGAGTGGTTGAACCGACCATGAATATCCTGCCAATCCCCGGTCCCAGGTACCTCGATGTAGTCATTCGCCGTCATCATTGCCAAAGCAACGACCGTCTTCTTCTCTGTGACATTCGGGCCCGGCAGCGTATCCATGACCCAATCGGACGGCGACAGCGCCACTGCCGAGCCAGAGGATCGTGCAGTCACTAGGTGTTCTTCAATGACCGACAGGCGTCGGTCTGCAAGCCTTTCGATTGTGAGCGGTTTTGACGAAGCAACCAGCGGAGTGTTCGGTGTGACGACATCGGTTTCGACTCCTTCGTCTGAGACGGCCCGAAGACGAGTGTCTGGCGTGATATCTAGCCGGCGATGGAGATCAGGATCTTGATAAGTTCCTCGGTGAAAGATATGGCGAAGCGTGAATTCGTGGGTGTCTGAGAGGGGGGGCGAGTCACCCAGCGGGATCTGAGGAGGGAGGAAGGGCGACGCTGGTCGGGATCCGAGGTATACGGGCTGATAAGCGGAGATCAGGCCTGGAAGTAGTGTCACCGACCATAGCAGGTCGGATAGTCTTGTGTTCCCCCAGGAAGACTTTTTATTCTGCCCTCGAAGGCCTTTCATGGCGATACAGTGATGGACAAAGATGCAGGGATAATGCTGAGAGATAATAATGATGGAAACAGGGTCGCTCTAGATAACCGGCGCCATTCTGTAGATAGATAGATAGGCAGTAGTTGAGGTGGCCACCGACTGGGCTGGAGAAAGTGGGTATTGGGCTGTCACGTGATAGTCACTGGCCCACATACCGAGGTGGTAGATGATCAACCAACATAGCTGAGTGGATCATCCAAACTACTAGTAGCTCACATGAGCTGTTTTCCTTTCTTTCTGTCGGTCATGCCTATCAGAGTCAGGTATCTCACGCCTAGTTTGTCGGTGGCACCCGCTTCCTTCATGATGGGTTGTTGACGAACACTGTTCATCTACTGCGGAGACAGGTGCTTGTGAAGGACTAGTAGTAGATAAACCCTACTGCAGATTATTATCCAGGATCGTCATTGTCACATATTTATCAGACTGAATATAAATTCTTTGATGACGGGTATTCTTAGGTCCACCATGGCCCCAGTCCGTCTACCGAATTTTATCTTGACTAATAAAAGGGCACAAGCCCAACACTAATATTGTCCTGCTTCCAGCATGGCATCCACTAGCCACTAACTGATACTATAGCTCGTCATGTACCTTCTCACCGACAGCCCGACCCAGACTCATCCCCACTTCAACATCAACAGCAATGGCGTTCTTACTCGCCTTCAGAATGTCCTCATCAAACTGTATACGACCCTTCTGGAATGCCACAATAATGGACGACCCTCCAAACTGGAAGATCCCAAGCTCATCACCCTTGTGTATCTGAGTCCCCGATTGCTGATACTGCGGATGAATCCTATTGACCATTAGCACTCTTCAACTGGCACCACAACTCAAAAAGTGCATACCTAACTGTCCCCACCTGCGAAGCCCCAATAGCCACAAAAAGCACTTCCCCAAACTCCTTCGTTTCAATAACCACATAATCCCTCGCATTCCTCGTTAAGATGTCCACCTGACTCTGCAGCGCTATCGGATCTACCTCATAATAGTCACCCGGCATGCTTCGAAACTGCTTAATGGTCCCCGAAACCGGACTATGGTACCGATGATAATCCTGCGGCGACAACCGAAAACTCGCCACCGGGCCATCCGCGAACTTCGGGCCCAATTGCTTATCCATTACCAGATTCGTGATAGAGAAATCATTCCCCTTGATCCATATCTTCTTGCTCTCGGCTACGGCTTCGTAGGCAACGACGCGCGAGTCGGCAACTATCACTGCAGCCGTAGGGTCGTCTTTACGGTAGATTGGGCGTGAGCCGGGCTTGTGGGCACGTACGAAGAAGTCCTCAAATGTTGCATAGGCTGTTATGTCGGAAGGGGTGAAGTCGTTCATGTTGATATGGTAGAAGTCAACAAAGGCCTTGATGCGTTTCCGAGATGCAGGGGTGGCTTCTTGTTTGCCTGCTGGGGTCAACGCTGGGTCTCGAGAAAAAAGAGAAACAGAAAAAGTACCTTCTTCAACGGCAGTATGATGCAAGTATAATCGCATCAGGTGAGTGGTATCCAGCCATTCTGTTAACGGGTTGAATAAGAGAAGCAGCTTAAGCTTCTTCCACAGCGGCTGCTGTTCCCGCATATGTTTACCGGTCTGTCTCCTGTAAGTACGGCGCATGGATTAAAAGCGATCAGCGAGAATGTTACCTTGCGCTCTATGGTGATCCATCCAACCTCTCTATTATGGACCTAAGACCCGTTAGTTGCTGTGATAGGCGACAGAGGTAAGGCTTACCATCTTGACCAAAGACAGCAGATAGTCTGCTATCCAGTGCAAAAATGTAATAATGAACATCCTGGCTACTGTTCATGTATTTGGTTCTTGGGAGTTTGTAGCCATTTTCTTTCTCTTCGCGATAGAAATGTGATTGGAAAACTGTCGCGATGCAACGGCAATGATGTCAGCATGACGGCTTCCCGATGGCAGTATACTATATACTACCCATCCACACATACTCATCTCCCTCCAGGATCACAACCTCCCCTCTCGCCTGGAAGGTAAGAGGCAGTAGATAATAATTGGTTATTGTTCTAGTTCTCACGGCATCATAGAAATAGACGATGTAGCATAGGATTAATACTGCCTGTTTGGAATATTGGAATTTCACGATACAGTTGAGGAATCAAGGGCACATCTAACAATCTAATAGTAATGACTGACATCTGGCTGTGTTTTTGTCAAGTGTACTTCCTCGTGCTGTGATGAGCTATCGCTGTTCTCTGACTGGTTGTGTTCTATGGGTCCTTAGCTAAGAGTATTACATGCTTTCATCATGCTGCTCGCGTGTGTTTACTAGTAAGTTACTCATTTATTGGTTGTGGAAAGGTAGATTCTCTAGATATACTGTCCCTTTGCTCATGCGATAACCTACCCATAGATAAGCTAGCGACCAGAAAGAAACAATAGTGCTCGTGCTCACAATCCTCAGAGAAACAGCCCACATCCATCCATACAAACTTATATAGCGGACGCGATCAAGTCAAAGAACATAAAGATGATTTTGAATTGAATTCATACATCTATATTGAATCCATACATCTATATTAATCGAAGAAACCTATCATTTCAACCCTCCCGCCAACAATAAACTCTGCCCTGTCATATACCCCGTCTTCACTAACATAGTGACAACATTAGCCACCTCCTCCGGCAACCCCAACCTCCCTAGGGGAATCGTGCTTGCCACCTCCGGAATGGCCTCAGCATTAGGGATCATCCCTGTATCCCCAATCATCGCCGGCGCAACATCATTGACACTAATGTTGTACTCTGCTAACCTCGTTGCCAAGTTCTTCATCATGCCCGTCAACCCGGCCTTTGATGCCGCATAATGACACCCGTTAATGCCACCCCCATACCCCGCAATCGACGACATGAAGATAATCCGTCCCCAGCGCTGCGCCTTCATGTGCTCGACTACCCCCTTGACGAGCAGGAACGAGGCCCGTAGATTCACGGTCAGAGTGTAATCGAATTCCTCCGTCGTGATGTCCCATACTTGCGGGACCCGTTTGCCGTACCCGGCATTGGAGATGAGGATGTCCGGGGTGCGGTTGTTGTGTTGGGATTGGATCTCGGTGAAAAGGGTGGTGATCTGGACGGGTGAGGAGACGTCGACTTGGTGGATAGTGATAACGAGGGCGGGGTGTTCGTTTTGGAGCTCTTTCTGGAGGGTGGTTATGGATGTCGAATTGGATGAGTAGGTGAGGGCTAAGTGCACGGATTTGGCGGCTAGTTGGCGGGCACAGGCGGCACCGATGCTATAGTATTTGTTTGTTAATAATGAACTTATTGACGACTCCAAGTGTGGTATGGATGGGAGTGGAAGAGAGTTTACCCTCCTGAGGCGCCGGTAATAAGGGCCAATCGGCCACCAATGTCGTTCAACTGGTCCATGATGAGTTTGCTAACGAGACTAGAGGGTGAGAAAGATATGACTATCCAAGTGTCACTAGTAGTTTTTCTGGGAAAGGATGGTAGATATAGTAGAACTGCTTACTCGTAAAGTCTTCCCCGCTGGTCGGCGCAATTCCGGTCCCAACCCCGCGACATTATGGATCCACTCCCCGGGCTTTGTTCCGACGGTGCAGCGCCGAGCTACTGTAGGTTAGCACTATTCTTATTAGATCGCAATAATTTAACTGACTATATACATAGAAAGACATTACCATAGGACCATTGAAAGGGTTATAGCGCATCAAGTTGTAGTTGAGTCTACACGATCAAGGAAAGTGCGGACGGCACAAGCCATAACCCAACTTAGTGTTTTCATGATGCGTACACTGAAGTACCTATAGGGTACTGAGGTGATTTTAGTAGTGTGCTGATTCATAGCATTCTTTCTGCGAGTTGCTGTAGATTCTAGTCGAGGTTTTCATAGACTTTCGCTGCTTATTAGCCCAAGAATGTAGTCACCTAAAGCTGATATAGTCTTATAATTTCAGAGACTCCAATATATCCAAGTAGTATGATATTATCTTATATTACATACCTCTCTAAACGCCGACCTAGAACCCTCAATCAACAACACCAAAACAAAAGCCATCAAGAAACCGCATCTCCTCCACTCTATACATTTTCCTCCTCTTTCTCCACCCTCTCTACTTGTCTCCCAACCAGCCTGACATACCCAGAATCATATGCCCTCCTAATAGTCGTCCACCCCAGAGAATAATACAACAACCCAAACAGCGCAATCGCATATCCAACCATCTGAAGCGAAGTGATCTGCGTGCCCCAAATTACCACAGAACAAACAATCAATAGGATGTTCTTTGGCACACTGACCAGCGTCATAGTCAAACCGGATGTCTTCCCAATCTAGACATATCCAGGTTCATTAGCACTCACATACAATCATCACCTCATGACCACCCAGGGCTGAAAAGAAATGGGAAATACACACCAGAACAAAAATCGACACATTCAACATAAACCCCACCGCGGCATTCGCTAACAACACCCCGAACCCAGTCTCCCCAACCACACTCCAACTGAACCCGCGCAGCTCAGTATAAAACGCGATCATAAAGTTCGTGAAAGCGCACACCGGTGCAGAGTAGTACAGTGTCACCAGGGGATCCATTTTCTGGCCCTCGTCTGACAGCAGGATCTGGATCATGACAAGACGGTTGGCGTCGAAGACAAGACTGGCGAGTTGGTAGATGACGCCGAGCCAGGAGAATTGGACTTCGCCGGCGACGGCGAGGGCGACACTGAAGGCAATGAGGAGGATGTTGAGGAAGGATTCAAGCGACGGGGTTTTGACATGCCAGGCCCAGCTGGTGAGGAGGGTTACTATTGGGCCACAGGCCTGTTTTTGTTTCCTTAGTATTGACAATTTATATTGCGGGCGATGGGGGGCATACTTTGAGCATTTGAATAAAGGAAACATTCAGGTAGAGGTAGACGATGTTGCTGCAGACGAGACTACCGCTGTAAAGAATGCCGATGGGGATGATCATGCGGACGTAGGTTCGGCCGTCCATACGCATTCTCTTGCGACCGTCGAGCATGGTGGTGGTTCGGGCGAGAAGTTGAGTAGCAAGGGTTGCGAAGACGAGATGCCATGTTGTTAGGATGATTGCTGGGTTGGAATTGTTGGTTAGACTGTGTTGATATACTCCCTCACATCATGAAGACAAACTCACGGTATCCTGGAGAATGTTAGTGGGATGTTCATGTTCGTAGTGAGTATAGTGGATTGGAGTAATTCACGTACTAAATTCAGTGGACTCAATCACCCATTTATTGAATAAAATGGTCAAGTTCGACCAAAACACCCACGACCTACATTCAATGGTTAACGCTGGTGATTTTGGCTGACTGGTGGACTACATACAGAATGCCCAGTGTAACAGGCCATACTGAAGCCTCCTTGGGCGGAATATCCAGGATAGCCATTATTGGGAGGGACTCTTAACGGGCCTTCCAGTTGACACAAAAGTAATACTAATAAACAGTGTCTCCAAAGAAGCGCGTGGTGGCCATTGGGGGCGTTTCACTCCGCCAAAAGAACCATCTCACGGTCAAACCTGGATATATCTAGTACTAGTAGTGGTGGATAGCACTACTTCCTTCTGCTAGGTGCTAGGTCTATTTCCATGGAACTGGAAACCACTGCAACGCCGGCATAGTCTGGACCGAGAAAATCAGGGTCTGAGGCTAAACGAAGGAGAGAGTGTGACCCTGGGACGTTTGCGGGTTTTGACGGGGTCTCATCCGTGGGAGGGAGGCTTGGGTGTAACCCTACTCTGCATGATCCATTCATTGTAACTGCACAGCTGCATCAATCAAGCTTCAGCAGGTCTGTAGGCGGCCATTTAAAAGCTGCTTTTATTGGTCAGGTCGTAGCAGGGGTCCAAATGATGGGAATCTGATTGGTCTCCACTATTTTGGGGGCGTTTGTTTGTAGCAGGTCCATTGGCGGCTATTTACGAGGGACTAGCTTAGGCTGTCGCGCGCGCGTTCCATTTGCTACGAGCTGAGGCTGAGGAACCTCGGATGGGGCTGGTGGATCAGGGGCCGGGTAGCAATCCAACTCTCAATACTATAGTCATTGTGGATATCGATGATGATTAACGCCCGGATTCAGGGGCAATGGGGGGACTTCGGAGCGGGTGGATCCCCCAGAAGATTTTAGTATGAGAAAGGGGATCGTAAGCTGAGCTGATTAACTAGATAGCATTCTTTGGTCATGCTTACGTCGTTGCGCTAGAATGTCCGACTAACAGGGATGAGGTGAGACTGGATGAGAAAATAGTAGAATGTTGGCCAACCTTGACGGGGCAATCCAGTTACCTACCGGAAGCTCGGAAGATGTTCTAACTGTATTCTGTATACTAGTCTAGTAGTAGTATAGTAGTAAACGAGTAGGGCTGACGCTTGCGGACATTGGCCCCGTTGACCAATCAAAGCACGGAAAAGGGTGACAGTTCCGTTTTGGGAATGGGCATCCTTAAGCTGGAGCCTGCAAATTTGGATGTGTCACCCTTTCAGTCTTTAACTATGTCCGTATATCTATTCACTATTGAGACATTGGCTAATAGTCTTTATGTTGGAGCTAGCAATTCACAAGTGAAGATTCTTGGCTTCGTATGTCAAATAGTAAGAGTGACAACACATGGCTTGTGCCAGCCATACAATGGCAGTTCTCTTCACGCAGATCCATACATTCCGATCAGCATAACCATAAAAGCTTGAACTATTGTTAAACAAGAAAACTATCAACCTAAAACACCAATCCACAATACCAATCGGTCTATTGCCCAGAAACCAGCACCTCAAATCATACTTACTTCCATGCTTCCTCACCACGAATGCGTACAATATGTAATGAAATAACTCGGCCACTCATCCACATCAATCCACCTCTTACACTCATCCGGATTGAAGTCTGGATTGCCCCACGCCGCCAGGCACGCAGGGTGCTTATCATCCGCCCAGCTATACGGATAGATCTGCTGTCGCGGCAACACCACCATCTTATCAGCCTTTGCCCCAACCTCATCTTCACTGCCCTCTGGTCCACAGTAAAGGTCCCACGCAGGTGACCACCGCCGCACCGTTCGACACACATGCGTCCGCACCGAACCATCCTTAAAATCCTCGTAATACTTGTGTAGCATAGTACCAAGTGCCCCAGGCCCCGTAAGTGACTCAACAGATCCATCGCCGTTCCCGTTGGGATTCTCAATCACGTGGATCACAGGCAGGAGCCAGAAAGGGTGGCCCGGGGGTGATGCCATCCAGCCATTAGGGACGGCGGCAGGGCCATCAAGTCCTTCTTTGTGTGCCATGTGGCCGACAAAGCCGCGCTGTGTGCATTCATGGTCGTTCTTGCGTGGCCCTGTGGAGAGGATTTGACTGTGCTTGGCGAGGGTGGTGGAATGGCTGGTGAAGAGAGGCTCCACGGGCCGGAGAGCTTCTGTGTCGACGTCGGCGTACATTCTAGAGATTACTGCTGTTAGCTAATGCGAGGTTAATAGTCTTGGTGGTGACTTACCCTCCGAATAGGTACATGTAGAGGTTGCGCACCACATCTGCTCGGTGGATCTCCTTGGGGAGACGGTTGTAATCTGTCAGGAACCAAGGGAAGTACTGTTCCACGAGCATCCGGTTCGTCTCGTCATCCCATAGTACATACTCCCAATCTGCATTCTGCGAGCGCATTGTCCGTACCCAGGTTTGGGCATCGTCGCTCATGTTGCTACCGGCAGGGAACCACGTCTGATGGATAAGCTTAGGGATGGTGGTGAGATCTTGGGAAAGCGGACGGGCGAGGAGGTCTCGTGCTGAAAGAGTGCGAGCATAGTGGTCTTTGAAGGGGGCCTCATAGTCGGTTGGGAGGACATCAAGATGGAAGAGGTAGGAGAGGAGAAGAACAATAGCAAGGGCGAACGAGAGCTGAAATCGACGCCGATTAAATTGGGATGTGAGCCATTGGAGGCAGGATCCTCGAGGAGATGATTGAAGTATCATCAGGGCGATTTGGCAAAGATTCTGAATTTCGGGGCAATGATCAGGCGATAGTGTGGTTTGGGGGTTGTCATAGAAGAGACCACCCTGAAGTTGTTCTCGCCTCACCCTAGATAGAATCTTGGACCAGGGCCAGGTAATATGGACATGGTCGCATGTACAATGGCAGGGTGGGCATTGGTGGATCAACAATCTTCGTATTCAGCGATGGAGTCAAGGTGTATGTCTTACTTGGACCAGGTACCTCAGCGTCACATCCACTGATGCTCCATTGCCGAAAACGTTCATCACACGAATACGACCCACTCGCACCTACTGATCGACCGGGCGGATGGTTCCTTGATTTTCAAAGAACTTGAAAACTTACTTCGAGCAACAGGCATAAGGGTAGGGAATTCGAGAGCCATGTTCTCTTTCCGACAGCTTCGATCGAGCTAATGGCTCAATCGATACCGTTCATATGAGACGCTGTAGATAGTATTGTATTTGGAGTTATACACTTATATATCATCTTCTAAGCAATCTTTACTCCAAGCTTGACCAGGACATTGCAAACAGTGTAGTCATATGCCACATTCTTTGTGAATCAAAAATTTAAACACGAGCATATGTACCCCAATCCCACTCCCATCCTAGTACAATCCACCCAATATCAACCGTCGCGGTGTATACACCTTCAGATCATAATTTCTTTTTATCATGTTTGATGCCTCAAAATTATTCTCATATACCTACAGAAAGTCAGTTATATTAGAGAAACCAGAAAGACAAGGTAACTTACAAGCTCATTCCCGTCAAAGCCATCAGAATACCCGCGACACTCTGCCGCAGAATCTCATGATCACTCAGCACCCATCCCAACCCTACAATGATGCACGTCTTGAGCTGTCCGATCACCGTGCTTGTAACCGGCCCAGCAGCATCAATTATATAGAATTGAGACAGGTTCACCAGACAAGCGAATATTCCACTCTGCAAAGCATAAATCAGCCACTTCTCTACGCTTATTCATTGTCAAACAAAGAAACAACCAAGTCAACTTACCGCAAGTATCGAAGTCCACAACGACCCAGGAACAGTCGCAACCTCCGGAAACGTCTCCATCCACGGAACAACACACAGCAGGACAGCCGCGCTGACAGGGGCCTGATTGAGTAGAAGCTGCATACTACTCATCTCCAGCTTCTTATGATACCGGCCCACCAAGACCGTGTACAGTGCACTAGCGCACACACCCGACAAAGCGAAAAAAATACCCTCTGGTGTCGTAGTATCGTTGCCTTTCGCGGACGGTAGTGAATCAAAGTACGAGACAATGCCAACTCCCGTGCAGAGTAGGGCCAGGGGAAGGAACGCTGATCTGGGGATGCTGGACTGGAACAGCACAAAATTTAACAACGCCGTAGCAGGTGTAAGGAGCAGCCGCGCCAGCTGGTGAAAGATAACCGACGAATAAGCCAAAGCCAGGTTCTGAAAGATGACCTGGATGCACATAGCCGCAACAAGGTGGAGGATTCGATAGGGTGATACGTGCTTGGGTTCGAACCAGCCGCAGAATGGCCGCGATGCTAGCCATAGTGTGAGTCCGGTGATGGTGAAATGGTAGGCGGCGAAGGATACTTGTGAGTTGCGGAAAGATGCATTGGAGAGGATGGATTTGTTAGTGAAGACCTGATTGAGTGTGTCAGTAACTAGTAATAATCATCTTCATGTCTAGCATGACAGAAACTTACAATAGCAACAGTCGCGACAATATTAATTGTCATCCATACAAGAAGTCCAACACTTCCTATCTGCTTTTCCGGCTCTTCAGACAACGCCCCAGGCCTCTTTTCGTCCTCATATGAATAATATCCCAGCTCCAGCTTCACATCGTCCGATGATGGGGGTGGGGGTGGTGGTGGTGGTGGTGGTGGGCTTGCAGGAGTGCAACTTATCGAAGTCAATAGACCCTTGCACTCATCGTCCTTCGGGTTCGTTTCTGCAACAACCATGTTGAAAACCCAGTATAGTATAATTGGATCGGTTCAGCGTATCGTGTTGCTTGCTAGAGGGTGAGGCTCTGCAATAAACACAGCATATCATCCCCGGGTCCTAAAAGCTATGTATGCACCAGGGATCTCTATTTCAAGGAAGGAAAGAAACTCTACCACCTTCCACTCCACTTTCTCTCAATGACATCTACCTTGGTTGGGTGGCGCTACAGGTCATGTCCAACAGGTCTACCAAGTACATGATGTGTAGAGTGACCTAGAGGTTGTGGTGCTAGAGAGAAGAACGCACTGAAACATCATGAGGTCCCACGACCCAGACTTGTGCGAGTGTGCTCTACCGTATCCAAAGGCACATGATTGAGAAAAGAGCGGGTCAGAAAGGAACCTCAATGTTACACTTTATAGTTACTTCTCGTACTCGTGATGTGCGCCAGGGGGGGCGGGGAACCTGGATCGAAGCCGGAAACGGAAGTAAGATAGGGATGGTTGCGGGCACTGGAATGTGGGTTCGTACGGCTCCTGTAAACCTTGGGAGAGGGGGGCGGTTCTCCTGTTTCCGTCAGGGACCAGGCTTTGGGAGCTTAAACTGTGAATTTCGTGGAAATTGAGCTTGGGGTTCTCTGTTCACTTGGCTGGGTCATTGTGGTTGGAAGAGAGATCGGTCTGTTGTACGGGTCAGGTTCCATGGACTGCGCAGCAAGAGCGATCTGGGCCGGGCTCTTCTTATCTATTGGAGACACGAAAGCCATAGCTAAGGGTTAAACAAGGGACTATACATTCTTGGATATAATAACTATAAGTCACGCTAGCAAATATGTACCAACAAGCTCAAGAAACTAGATAACCCCTCGGGTACTCGAACTCCTTCCAATCCAACACGCGCCGCGACCAAGGAAAACCCTCATCATACTGGGCATAAACAGTATCCCTACCAGCCACCAGCCGATGAATATTCAGTCGGGTGCTGTACATGAGATTCCAGGCCTGTGCCTCGTGCCACTCGTCGCTGCCTTCACGGATGTCCGAATCCTTCGACGCAAGACCGGCCGCCTTGTACGTCCCGATGATGTTGGGAAACGGCGCATAACACTCGATCTGCGAACGGCCATCCTTACCACCACACATATCAGCCATGGAGTTATCCACTGCAGCCACGAGCCGATCGACCGCTAAGGCTGCTAGGATCCTCTCTGCGCCTCGCTTGGTCACCGCGTACCCATAGGTGCAGCAGCCCATATCGGCCCGATAAATGAAACGAGTCGACGTCTCAGGGTAAATCTCCTTCCATGAGTCGAGGGGGCCGCCCCACGTACCACGGTGATCGACACTGGGGGCGGTCGGGTCATTTGGGATGGCATAGAATTGCGTCTCGTTGGGAGCGGCAGATGAAGCGCATCCGCCCACCCAGAGGATGTCCCAGTTGGTGCCGTATGGAGCGCTCTTGGTCGTGTTGGCATTTCTGGTTAACGCGCGTACGCCTCGGGCAAATTCGCGGAGTTGTTGCCTAATGCTAACGTCCCAGTCTGCGTCGTCTTCAAGGATAAGTGCTGTTGAGTAGGAGTTTTGGACCATACTATATCATGATAATGTCAGCTTATAACAGGATAAGGTTTTCGCATGACGAAGGAGCATACTGACTTGCTCAAAGCGTTCATATGAGCGCGCCAGCATCCTATCTCGGATGGTGCTAATAAGTTATCCTAAAAGAGTTGTCAACTAGGGTCAGAGGTCTCAGACACAAAACAGCGTACATTGAGCAGAGCCTTCTCGCTCATGTCCTCTGGGTGTACCCCGTCTATCCATTCGACCCGAAACCCGGCTATCGACGCGGCGAGGTTGAGAAAATCGCGCTTATCTGTTCGTTCTTTCAGTCCAATGGCGTAAATGTGTTCAAACTGTCAAAAATCATTAGCAAATACGCAACGGGCATCACCATAAAATATAAAGCAGAACAAACCCCAAGCGTTTCGTTTTGAATATGCTCCAGCGCCCGATCCTCCAACGTGGACCGCGCGATCTTCACCCAGTCCTGTTTCCAATACTTCTCTCCCGTACCACTGAATAAAAGAGTGAGAATAATATAACTGGCGAATGCAGCGACAATGTATTTCGTAAATCTGGATTTCCCCCGAATCATGCTGAGAACTGGTGCCAGTTGAAGATAGTCTATAAAGTAAGAGGAGACATTGAAAAAGGTGAAATATCTCGCATTTCGCAAACTGCACACTTCTTGAGCTTTCTCGTGAAGTCTCTTGGTAATCATAGGTCACTATTTTGGGATTATATGGGTAAACCTTAAGGAAGCAAAGCTGGACGTTTTGGGTTGTATCCACATTCTTTGTTCAGGAACGGCAGGTTGGTACGTAGAAGCATCTTTCCCGAAAACGGGAATCGTCACTCCGGCATGGATACGATGTAGTGGAGATTCAAGATAGCCCCGCAGCAACAAAAGACTTTCTTTTAAGTTTATGAATGAGGAACTGGTCGCCTAGGGATGGATCAGAGATGGCCCTAATAATAGCCTCGGGAGTAGTCTCGAGCCATAGGATCATTACACCACCAAACAGGAAACAATATAGAATATTCTCTGTCCAGTAACACTATCATGTCTCGGCCAGTAATTCCATGCATTGATCCATTCTTCTAGTCGGCGTAAATAGAACTGCAAGCTAGCTTCGTGGTCATACGAATTGACAATTATATTTACCGGGATTCATAAATTATCATTAAGGTACATAGTATAAAGAAATGCAACTTAAGTCCCTAGTGTATTATTCACAGCCATAAGGTTACTTATGTTACTTGTTACTTAGTTATTTTAATGTTTAGTTGATTCTTTGGAACTGAGAGGTAGCCGGAGGTATGCACAAGTTCTACGCGCTACTGCGTTCTTGGATAATCCGGCTCTACTTCGGGGCAGACTCGGCTTGCATTTACCGGGTTGGTGATTGGGGTTAGATGAACAAGCATCTGAGAGAGGCCACCCCCGCGATGGAAAGGGGTAGAAAAGAAATAAAGAATGCAAACAGTGCATATGACTTGTACCATGTTAAAAGGTGGGAAAGGAGAAAAAGACAAAAAAAAAGAAAGCCCCTGGTGGGGGTCGAACCCACAGCCTTAAGATCTCAATCTAGCTGCAGAGATAGTTAGTAACGTGTGTGCTGTAAAGGGGTCCTCGGGAGTACTTGCAAGTCTTACGCGCTACCGATTGCGCCACAAGGGCCACTTGTGTTGAAATTGTTTTACAAATTTGTCTAATTACCGCATGGGGGTCATGACCCACGGCTACCGCATTTTCTTGTAAATTTCACAACACCTCCGCCAAGAATTTCCCATTGTGATTAAACGAACATCGTGTTGCGGGTGGTGTTTATCCTTATTAGGGAGCAGAATTGCGCGATCTGAATTGAAGCTGACCTGACCTGATTCGGAAGCCACACTTTACAGATAAGATAAACTTTAAACAAATCATATCAAAACCGTTTCGATCGAAGGATTTCCTATGATGTATCTTACTCCTAAGTAATAACTTGGCTCAGGGTAAATATACTTCGGAGCCAGTCATCCAAGCAGATGGAAGGTGACTTTCCACCATCTCAAGCCAGACAAAAGTATCTGTCACTCGCTTCAAATCCTTAGTAGTCTGAACTATGGAAATCATGTCTGCCACCTTCTCTCCCTTCCCCCCCCCCCACGTTAGATATTCTAGTCTAATAGCGTCGATATAATTGGGAGATGAACGCCTTTCACTGTAGAAATGGTAGTAGTAGACATGGATGTTGCATGCTATTTGGATAATAAGGGTACATCTACGATCCCATCTACGCCTTTATTTTTGGCTGACGGATCATACAATACAGCTGTGCTCATTAGCCCACCCACACGGCGACATAAGAAACCCAACCAAAGCTGAAAAGTCTCACATACCTTGCATTTATCCTTGCCATCCACACACTCAATCTCACTGACCATCTCGAACCCCAATTTCTCATAGATTATCAGGTTCGGAAACCCCTTGGAACTTTCCAAGTAGCAAGGCATGCCCTCTCGGTCAGCTTGTTGACTAACTACCTCGACCAATTTCCGACCCAGCCCCATTCCTCGCATTGAGGAGTCGACCGCGATCACATTGCAGAAGTAGTAGCCGCGGGGATCAGTCCAAACTCGGTCGTGAGTCTCCTGTTGTCGGGCTTTCCAGAGCCAGTAACGACGAACATTAAGGCCACCTCGGCCACCGAATCGGATGTTATTGTACAGCTGGCGGAAGGAGAGGATCCAGTCTTGCGCCCAGACGGACCAGGGGACAGGCTCGGACGGGGGTTGCGGGCTGTACCACCAGCAGACTCCGACGACGGGGGAATCGGTGGGAATCTTGTCTCTGGGGGTGTTGGTAGTGTATTTGGCCACGAAAATAGGCTCGTTGCAGGAGAGGCCGTAGAGGAAGTGTGCAGCAAGAGAGGCAGCGTTGCGGTGAATGTTGAACTGTTCATGATTTTGTTTAGTTTTATATATATGGTAGAGCTGGGACTGACAGTGCAGAGTAGGGTGCGGGATTCTACATGTACAACTCTAGCTCAGTCTGTACATCGTTCGAGGTACCTGGTATCTCTAACCGAGATTGGAAGGTCCTCGAACGGAGGGCTACTTACCCCGGATTTATTGTTGAATACCCAGTGAAAGTACGGGTCGTCGGCGAACGCTTTCTGTATGCATGCTACGGCCGAGGGGATGTCCTCTTTTGTGAGGGGAAGGATCTCGATGGCCATATTGGGTTTGTTTGTTTGCTTTGTTCTCGTAATTGGATTGGGCTTGAATTGGGGAAGATATTGAGTTTATGATGTATGATTCAAGAAAGGTATTTGATAAGTGCATTCAATTCCTACTGGCTCTGCGAATAGGTTGCGAAAGGGCAATAGTATATGCGTGAGAATGACGACGAAGGGGATAAAGAGAGAGCGCCATCTATTGATGGGAGCCGAGATAGACGGACAGGTCGAGAAGGGAAAGCGCGGGTGAGTCGCGAGGACACCGACCAGATGAGGTCTTTGATGAAACTGGCAGTTAAGCTTGATGATGATGATGAAGAAGAAGAAGAAGAAGAAGAAGAAGAAGGTGAGAGACGGACTGTGAGAGGGTATATTTATCTGGGTTTCCTCTCTTTCATGCTGCCACCCTCCCTTTGTTCCCAAATAGGCAAGTCCTACACCGACCCCGTGACAGCCCACGCTAACTTGGTTTGGTAGTTCGATGCGGCGCCGCCCGGCTCTGCTTTCCCCCTTCCCCACCAATCATATCCCCAAGATCGTCCACCATTGACGATCGCCAAGCCACTAGACGCGATTCGGCAGGTTGTGCCGGAGGATCAGCTGGCCGGCAGGGCTTATCGTGTCATGGGGATAGCTTCACGCACGGGGAAGCTGCCATCTGCCGACCCTACAATAGCCGAGTGATAAGACGAGTGGCATATGAGATATAACCGAGTTTGAATAAACCTTATAACGGGTTACGGAAGGGTACCTTGGGAAGACAAGACTATCAGATCCGACCCACCTTACCGTGGCTGGGATATGGGTTCGATCGATTGTGCAATAGCCCCATTTGTGTAACATAGAGCAGTGCTCGTTACACCGTGACAGATAACGTGTGTTGCTGGCTTCCTAAAAGATCGATCATTTGAACTAATATACAAGCCGAATATGGTAGATTTTGACCTATAGTTCCAGTTTGCGCTGGTGAAGGTGCCTTTCTTTCTTTTCTTTCTCACATTTTTCATGACAAGCAGAAAATTCAGGGTTGGGTACGGAGTAACAAGCTTTATTTTCTTGCTGACAATCGACAGCTACCCAAGGGGAAGGCCAGCCGGCCCACTTCTACTAACGGGGACTATCCCCACTATCTACACGGCAATAATAGTGGTACTTCGGTTACTGCAGTGCGTACCTTTCTCTATGAGGCAAAGTCTTTCGCTTGACCTAGCTAGCGACTCTGTCAGTTCCGGTCATCCATGGCAACGAATAGGTCGTGTCGGTCAGGCCAAGTTGCCCCACCATCCAGGGGTCTTGCAAGTGGATATCTCGCTACTCGGAGTAGACGAGTCACTAGTTCTCGCATATTGAATGCTAGAACAACTCGAAGCAACTACAGAATACACCGATACTACACAAAGATCCCTAAGGCCTTGGATTACTAGGTACCCGCCGTACTATCATGAATATATTTTTCAGTAGTAGCAACAATAGTAGCAACAGCGTGTAGCCACTTGTCAAGCATCATTATAGCCCTGACATCACCGCGATCAACTATCTACTTGGCGCGGGTCCGACGCTTTTTGTTGGTAGCAGTCCTCTCCGCCATATCATCTTGCCCATCCGGTGCATTTCGTGCTCCGCGACGCCCTCGTTTGGGGCGCGTCTCCGTTCCTGTCGCCAGATTTGATGGTACTGGGCTCTCCAATGACCCATCTGCAGCTGGATCATGCAAGTGACTATCTAGGCCAATTGAATCATCCTGTTCCACAGATATAGCTTGCTGCCGGAGTCGACTAAATGCTTTCTCCATCCTTGTCTGTCCACCACTGCGGACACGCGGTGCAAAAGCACCCGCTCCTTGCGGACCGCTGAAGAAACTAGTAATATTCGATTGTGTGCCCTCCTGCTCTCTGCGGTTCATATCGCGAATTACGGGCACCAGCACCTCATCAGTGCGTTCTTGACTCCAGCCAATTGTTGACATAAGGAAGTTCCTTAGACCATGCAAGTCGGGCACTCCCCACTGAAAGGGAGACGGGTCCGAATCCACCTCTGGTTCCAGGTACGCGGCATCGACTCGGGGATCGGGGAAGGACGGTGGTAGGAAGATTTTTGTAGCATGTTTTTTGAACTTCTTGTAGAATATTGCATGACTATCGTTGCCCATATTGAGTCCTGTCTGCACCTGCGTCCACCAATCACGGAATTCTTCCAGTGTCCCGAATTCAGTGAGGATCTCTAAAGCAGTTACAGGCCCGATGCCGGGGATTCCTTCTGTGTAGTCACTCCCTAATAAATGGGCGAGCCTGATGAGTTTGGTGCGGAATAGAGAGTACTCTTTCTCTAGGTCAGTTGTGAGGTAGCATTCAACAAACTTGCTTTGGTTGAACATGTTTTTGTAGACGCGTGTGCCTCCAAATAAAAACACATCACTATCATCGGTGATGATACCATCAACAAGGCCAAGTGACACCAATTCTGCACACTGGGCTTCAGCCTCCATAGGGGCCGTGACGTATGGAAGACCGAATAGCCTCAGCAACTGCTGGCATTCAGTAATCATGACTTGTGACACTTCGTCTGCATCTCGGCGGTCCTTCTTTTGCTGAGACCGCAACTGTCTTAGCTCTTGCTCGTAGTCAAATGGAAGTTCGGTGTGAGAAGTAGAGTTTAGTGTCGCTGCAAAGCGTACATGCTCTTCCCCTTCAGCCGCAAGCTGTTCGAGTAATTGCTCGTCTTCAGGATCTGAAAAATTGTCGTCATCAGAATATTCTTCCACTTGGTCTGATTGATCTAGGGTAGTTGGTTCCGTGGGTATGCTGTCTGGCTGTATGACAACATCCTCGAACTCAGGCGATGGCGACGTTTCGGCGTGCCTCAAATCTGTTTCATCATCAATGGAGATGTGTTTCTCCGTCATAGATGGATTGGACGCATCCACTGGAATGATATCTCCCGTATGTACTTCCAAAGCTTCGGCGTCCTTTGTTTCAGTAGCTTGTGCTTCGACAGGAGTTACTTGTGGTCCAACCTCGAAATTGATTTGAGATTTTTGACCACCACCGTTCGATTGAGGAGTCGGCTCCAAGTCAATGAATGGTTTTGAGCCTTTTAAAGCCCCTGAATCATGGTCCTCCATCGTTTCTTCATCGCCAACGATGAACACGTGATCTGGTACATTCTGCTCACTAGGCGGCTTCGCCACTGGACGATGGTGAACCTTATCACTGACGAACTCAACATCCTTGACACTTTGCGATGGCCCTGAGAACCACGGCGGCAGTATCTGGTTATCCTTCGTCTTACTTGATTCATTGTCGGGTTTTGTTGCGCCAGATTCTTGTTCAGCTGATTTACCACGGTTGGTTGATTTTCCAGCTTTGAACGGTTTAAGTGACTCAAAGGGAAGCGGACCATCGAAGGGGTTACCTGCCACTTTGGGCGGTGCTTTCTTTACTCTCTTGGATTGTGCTAAGGCGGCGACAAAGTCCATTCCTTCGTCATCACTATGATCCGTAAGGTCTGCGGGGGCCTCGTGGATAGATGGAAGGGACACGTAGTTCTGGTTAAGCTGGATTTCAGGTAGATCATCATCGTTGGTACCGGCATCGGCACCAACACCAGATTGGAGAGACATCGCGATCGCTCGTTGAAGCGTTTCGTCATCATCATCTCCAGTGGCATCGAACAATGTATCTGTGGTATGGTGGTTATGATTCGCTAGTTCGTTCTGACCACCTTCCACGAAAAGGGAGTCATCGTTGGCTTCCTGCAGCTCGGGGCCTCCTGTATCCAAGCTATCACGCATCTGGTTCCTGTTTGATTCATCGAACCCCCCTTTTTGAAGGAAAGGCAGCTTAGGAAGTCGGTTCAATCCTTCGATAGGCACATCTTCAAAGCCACCATCATCGTCATCCGAATTATCCTCTTTGTCAACGAATATGAGCTGCTGACCATACTGATCAACATCGATAGGTTTGTCCTCCTGGCCTTCTTTGTTCCCCACAACACCCAGAACCCAGCCCCCTTCAATGGTATCATCCTTCACCAAGACATACTCCTTCCCGCGTTCTCCGGCAATACGTTGTCCTGATTTGTACAGAGCATCTTCACCATTCATGCCGTTGATATTCATCAGTCGTTGGGTTAAGTCATTGCGCTCCTTTACACGCTCGATTTGAAACTTCGAGAATGCCATTCTATTAGGAAACATGCTGTCTAGTTGCTCCTTTGAGTACCCCATCCGGAGACGGCTTCGGAGTCTGGCCGCATTGAGGATATTGTACCGGTCCGTCGCCGGGAGACTGACGAAGAATGGGCTATCAAAGTCAATTTTCGAGAAATCATACAAATTGATATCTTCTCCCTGATGAAATTGCCTCGCATATTCCTCCAATTCTTCCTGTGACATGATGCGAGGGTCATTGGGGGCCCCCATCTCTTCAAGGCTGGTTTGTAAATCCGGCAGATGATAGGCGTCTTTCTTCTTGAATGACCGCGTCTGCTTCTTTTCCTGTTCCGTTATGAAAGCATCACCAACATAAACAGGGTTGTCCGGCACCTCCTCTTCATTTGTCGTTCTCCCCCTCCGACGGATAGCCGCCTCTTCCTCAGCAGACCTTTGCAGCTGCACAGCCAGCAGCTTTCCAGCGGTCCGCACGGCATCTTCTCTCCGACCTTCGCGCCGTTTCTTCCGGTTTGCTATAGTCTGGCGCTTGAGGACCGGAGCGCCACCATCAAATACGAAGACCGGCTGGATTCCGAAGTAGAGTAGCTTGCATATGCGGCGAAAGAAGCCCACGATATGAGAGTTCCGGAGAGCATTGCCTTCTTTGTCGCGTACCGCCTTCAAAAACTGGTAAATCCATATCGATGCATCGACAGCCAGGCGTTTTTTGTTGAGAGTTTCCAATTTAATGGGCCGTGCACAAGGATGTACGACCGTCCAGAGCCCATGGACACCCATGCTGCTTCAGCAGTCCCGATATTATGGGCTATGACAGCCGTACCCAAGTACCGAATACTTACACGTCATAGAAGTTGTATGAGATGAAACCTACTACTAGGCGATTGTTTTGACGACATAAGACGACGCGGATCAACTGCAGTCGGGAGGCGTCAATGAGGTCATCGGACACTTTGTGACACGTGATACTGTCTGGTATCAAATCACGTGATGTATATGACCGGGGCCGACGCGATGGCTTCAGGGACTGATGGATTCCCCAAGATGTATGTCAAAAGCAAGAAGTGCAAGCCAATGGCGGGGGACTATCTAGATCATGCAAACGTAGCTCTCCCACAACCCTGATCACTGTGGCGACCCTGCTGGACTCATGTCTTCTGAATCCGGCTCTCTTCTATCCATGCGCATCCATTCATCTGGTCAGTCCTCACCTAAGTGCGCTACTATGCCCTACACCTTGTCTTTCCAGAATCCATCGAATCTCCTTTCTGGTTCATGGATTGAAATATGAGCCCCACCTATCCTGATTGTGACCCTCAGTTCCACGTTCGTTATCAACATTTGTACGATAGAATCCGTTAACCCTCCGTCTACAAGGCAGCCTGTAGGAATCAGTCACAATCGGCGAGTGCAATGCCTGCAGTTATTTGAGTAACAATCCCTCCAGGACATTGCTGACACAGGGTACCGCAGCCCAGCGTACAGCGATGGTGAGGTCTTTGATTTGATGAAGTGCTTTGGCGCACTGTAAAAGTAAACTAGTAGATCGACGGTGTATGTCTTGTTCTATCGGGCGTGTGTTCTTGAGTCCCCTTAATGGAAGAACATAACTCCATGATGGATCAGTATCGAGACTATATGTATGGGCGGGGATGGTCATGTTTGCAATTTATTTAGGATATGTAGAAGTATAAGTCCGTAGACACAGTCAGGTTCGGAAGATGAGACCGTAGAATTAAAAGAGACCATGGACATGGAGATCGGGTACTGTGCCCGTGCATAATGAATTTCCCATGATACATGTGGTTTTGCACACAATTCAATCATTCCACCACTAACTCCACGTGACACCCGGGAATATCAAACTTAGCACTTGATTTGAGGGAATTGGAGGCCTCTGGACCGACCACAGGCTGCGAATAAGTGATTGCTTTCTCCGATAGCGCACCAAAGAACTGATATACAACACCCAGATCCTTCTCCCCGCCATCGGAAGAGCTGGGAATGGTCTCGGAATCAGCAACAATGCCAAAATTGAGCCGAATGCCCTCATCTTGACGAAGAGGTTTCGGGGCATGCTCTGATTCTACAGAAACAAAGAATTGAATGTAGTCACCCGGTCCTGCAGTTTGAGACAAGCTTGACATACTTTCATCCAGTTGTGGCATCTCAAAGAACGCAGGCGGCGGAGTAGATATATCTGAGAGATTTTGCGTCTCCTGGTCTGCGAAGATATTGTCCAGGCCTAGGAGCCCCTGATTATTGTCTGTTTCAATGAACGTAGTTTCAGGGTCCAAAGATAGAAGGCCTTGTTTCTTTCCCCATCCACCGCCACCGCTCATGACCCGATGGAGTTTGCCTCCAGCGCGGATTGCTTTTACGAGGCTCTCCTGCATATTAGTGTTGTTTTCCAATTGAAAGCCCTTTTCGGCGTTCTCAATCAGGGCCCAAACAGAAACCCTTCGGTCAACTATGCCGTGTTCCTCAATGTAGCGTGGCAGTTCCTTTTCCAGTTCAGATGAAGCTGGCATTGGTTCCGTTGATTGACTATCCAGATGTTTTGCCAACTGACGAAGGATATTTCCCATGCTTGAGATCACTCTCCTTCGATGGCCAACAGGATAGAGCGGGAGGTTAAATGAGTTTTGGACGGAAGCGACCGCTGAGGTCACCGTGCAGTTGGAGAGATTCACTGATTGCTCTAAGGTATATTGCTGAGAAGGCGTATAAGTCCAGCGCGTGCCAAAAAGAGTGGTGTCATTCCCGTTGATGAATATTGTATTGGCGAGACGCAGTCCGAGTTCATGAGTCGACCTCTGCAAAGTCTTGGAGGATGTGTCGTTTTGAAAAGTAAAGACCAAACTGGACTCTGCAGCTTCCATACTCCGAACACGACGAGGCACAGCAATGGTTCCCTGTAAATTTTCTGCCTTTACCAGCAAGAGCGAAACTCCATCGGAGTCAGATGAAATCTTGCTGTCGACAAGCCCTTCGAACCTGGCGCGGAGGTCGGGTAGCTTATCGACCACGGCAACAATGGCATGGAGAGGTCCTGACGATTCGCGGTTTGGTGTAGATAAATATAAAGAGTTGATCAATTGTTCCAGAAAGCGGTTCGACGATACATCAATCCAGTGGGCGAATGCAGAAGTGACTAGGAGGACAGGTACGTAGTTTAACGAGAGGGACTCTGGAATGGGGGATACGCTCGAAAGGACGTCATCTGGCGTCTCTTGAAACACTTAGTGAATGGAAACGGTCATATGCAGATAGCAATTCTCACAATTTGGCCCGGCGTTCTTGTTAGCCAGGTATATGCCAATGGAAGATCTTTAGCCTCAGTGCTCCTCGATGATGCAGCTGCGTTTTGGGAGATCAGTCGGACCAGGGATGTCGCTTTTTGTGTCGGTTTAGCATGTCCGACAGTAGCCAGCCGTACTGACAGAAAGCGGGGGACGCGCCCGAGTATTAAAGACATAGAAGCAGCATGGATATCGACACGGGACGGTCGATTGATACGAATACCAGCTGATTTGAGGTGATCATAGGATTTGGAGAAATGCGGAGATAGCGGGAGATTTTCTGGCTTCCACCGCCCTGCTTATCATATCGACATGTGAGCGGTAGGGTTCACGTGATGATATAGTGCTTCTCCACTTGCTTTCCTAACAAAACTTCTGCCTTTCTTCGGCGTGTTGCGAAGGTAATTAGGGCAAATGTCAAGAAAAGTCGCGGTTCATTGCTTTTTAGACAGTGTGTTCGTGTTATACGTGCAGTGAGGGTTCATACGGGACCCCTTTTACTTTGTAGCAGATATATATGCATACTTTGGGCTTGATTTAATTCCGATGCCTCATGTATCAAGTGGCAGCCACTAGATCCAATGCGCGGCTTTTGTATTACTTATGCATCCCGTTGTTTGGGGTCTTATGGAGAGCTGGACGGAAGATCACCGATGGGGAGCCCCAAGGTCTTCATGATCTCCGCGCAAGTAATAAAAGTGCTAATAATGATAATGATTAATAAACACTACTCCGCAGATAGGCCCAACAAGGGACGGGAGGCAAACCAGGCCGATAAGCAGCCTCACGTGATGCCAGGGACTTGACCCGCCCCTTCACAGAAGTCCTGATCGATTATACTCTCGCAGTTAAAGAGACTTTGAAAGCTTTTACTCGATGGCCGCTAATGCCCGCCGTACTACACGGCATTTTGAACCAGCTTCTTCAAGAAGCGGAGGATTCTCTTACTCTCCTCCTGACTCAGCGATCTAACGCTTGACTAGTTCAGACCGGGTAATCCACCCTGACTACTTCCATGATGCCAAAATTGTGGTCTTGCGCCAACTCGGCGAAGATGAGTATTTCAAGCCGAGTTATGCCGACTTCTCACGTCGCCAGATTAGCCATCTGGAACCCCCGGAATCACAGCACCAATGCCACAACGACAGCTACCCGATCCGAAGATGGGCTATCCTCACCGGCCCCCTCTACCAACTCCGTGCCGCCACGATGGGCTGCCCTAAAATCAGCGAAGCCCTTCTCGGAATTTCTGACAGATACCTTCAACCGCCAGCACGACTACCTCCGCATCAGTGTGACCGAGCGATGCAATCTCCGCTGTCTCTACTGCATGCCTGAGGAAGGCGTACCATTATCTCCACCGGCTCGTCTCCTTACCTCTCCCGAAATCATATACCTCTCGTCGCTCTTCGTCTCGCAGGGTGTGACCAAGATACGTTTGACAGGCGGTGAGCCTACCGTTCGCAAGGATATCATCCCCCTCATGCAGTCGATCGGGGAACTGCGTCGCAATGGCCTTCGTGAGCTCTGTCTGACAACAAATGGCATCTCGCTGCACCGGAAGCTGGACGCCATGGTTGATGCCGGGCTGACTGGGATCAACCTTAGCCTTGATACGTTGGATCCCTTTCAGTTCCAGATTATGACGCGGAGAAAGGGGTTCGATGCGGTGATGAGGAGTATAGACCGGGTGGTTGAATTAAACAAGGCCGGGGCTGGGATCAAGTTAAAGATCAACTGCGTGGTAATGCGGGGGATCAATGATCGGGAAATCATCCCTTTCATCGAGTTAGGGCGAAATAACCCCATTGAAATACGCTTCATCGAGTACATGCCCTTCGATGGCAATAAATGGAGCCAGGGTAAGATGGTCTCTTACCAAGAAATGCTGGCAACCATCCAGGAGAAGTACCCCGCTCTTCAAAAAGTGCCAGATCACAAGAACAACACAAGCAAAACGTATCAGGTTCCTGGCTTTAAAGGCCAGATAGGCTTTATCACCAGCATGACGCATAACTTCTGTGGTACCTGCAACCGGTTACGCATTACATGTGACGGGAACCTGAAGGTATGTTTGTTCGGTAACGCCGAAGTATCCTTGCGAGATATACTCCGGAAGGAAAACAACGGGGAGCCAATCAGTGAAACAAGGATGAAGGAGCTGGAATCGGATGATTTTGTCCGGAGAGAGGAGCTGCTGGATCTCATCGGAGTAGCGGTTAAGAGGAAGAAGGCAAAGCATGCTGGCATGGGTGAGCTCAAAGATATGAAAAATAGGCCGATGATACTTATTGGTGGGTAAGCATGAATCTGTCAAATATCTTGGTGTGATTTGTCTTTCTTTTGGGATTTACCACTCCTTGGGCTGGCGACACGACTTATACGAATCATGAAGAGTGCATAATTTTCTTACTACTGGCAGACCGGGCTGATAGACATCAATAAGATAGTAATCCATTCTTCACTATGAAATGCGACTATATACTACTTTGTATGTAGCCATCCCCCCATTCACGTGACTGTTGATGCCCATGACATGTTGCGGCCCCATCGGAGCTCCTAGTGTCTGTCACGTGGGCGCCTAGCGACTTTTCAGCCCAGTCGATCGATGACCACCTCTCCATCTACAGACCGACGCATCCCCAAAGAGTCACCTCCGGGTCCGAAACTATGAGCTCCAGGACCTTGGTCGGGCTGCGATCAACTACATCGACACACCTGCAACGCAGTGGTGTTGCTGCCGCTGCTGCCGTCAGCAGTAGTAGTACTAGTAGTAGTGGCAGTGCCCCGCGTCGATGTCTTTCCTCGGCTTCCGGTCGGCAAGTGCAGCAGAGTGCCGAGTTCTCCTCCAGCAGCAAAACTTGGGATCGCTTAGGTCACCGCGCCAAGGAGAAGCTCCTAGACCGCGAATTCTTCCTAAGCTTGTTGAACTCCGCCTCAACCAAGCGTGAGGCCAAATCTTATTTGGCCCGTCTCAAAGCTCAACATCAAGGAACTACTCCCCTGAAGCCGGCCGCCAAGCAATCCGGAGTATCGGAAGCGACAGCACCAGTGTCGTCGGGTGCCAGTTCAACCTCATTCTATGGCGCCTCCCGATCGGTCTATGACAGCCCCGTCTTCAGACATGACTCAACTCCAACACCTCCCCTTCAAGATGTGTCTGAGCGCCTGCACCTGGCCCTGGTCAAGATAACCACTCCACAGCTTCTCGATGACTTGACCGTCAACGGCGTGGCCAAAACCCTCTCGCAGCTGAATCGTCTGGGAATGGCTTGTTGCGTGGTAGTCGACCCGGGCACAGCAGGCGATCCTAACAAACTGCGGAGGATCGCGGCCGAGCAGGCAGATCGCATCTCAACAGCTGTGGATGCCCAGCCGGACTCGAAATCAGCTCACATCGACTCTGTCCTATCCGTTTCTGCGCAGAACCCTGAAGCACCCAAAGTCTTATCCCGGAAAGTACTGCTCGGGCCGTTGCGCGATGGTCACATCGTGGTCTTGGCCCCCATTGCTTATACAGAAGACGTTCCTCGAGCAGTGACGGTCTCGGCCAGCGATGCCATCCTGGCCCTCACCAAAGAGCTGGCCGGACTGGCAACAAATCCTGACCCTGATGAAGACCCAATACTGACGGCCCAACGGATCGCGACCCTGCAGGAAGAAGTATCCTTGGATCGAGTCATCCTCCTGGACCCCTTGGGCGGGATTCCTGCTTTCAGTGGGCCTCAGACGTCCCATGTTTTCATCAACATGGAGCAGGAATTCGACGATATTGAGAACGAGTTGCTGCGGGTGTGGCAGTCAGCAGCATCTGCAAAGAATAATCTTCCTGAAGAAGGTTTACCGTCCATTGCTGATAGTAATCCTCTCTCCAAATTCGCCGACACGGAAGTCGTCCCAGTGCCCCCTAGTCAGAAAGCGTACTCCTCGGACCTAACTTTGGATACAAGCATGGTGGAGGGCCACATAAATAATCTGCGACTAAGCCAAGCCGCACTGGCGATGCTACCCTCGGCATCGTCTAGTATCATCACCTCCCCACTCGAAGTTGCGAATTCAGCACAGAGCCCTGGAGGCGCTAGTCCAGATGTATCAGCTGTTGGAACCCGAAGACAGAGGAACCCGCTCATCCATAATCTTCTGACCGACAAGCCTTTGCTCTCGTCTTCTTTGCCCCTAAGCCGACGTGCAGCCCTAAATGGCGGAGGCGACTCGATTGCTACACAGGCCTCCCATACCACGTTTGTCAAGCGAGGCATGCCGCTGACCATCATTCCGAATCCATGGCTTTCACCTTGGACGGCCAGAGATCGGCCGCGTCTGGGGCTCGATGATCCCTCGATCGACCTGCCCCGACTGGTCCATCTCATCGAGGATTCCTTCAATCGCAAACTTGACGTACAAGACTACCTCAACCGAGTCAACGGTCGTCTGGCCGGACTCATCATTGCAGGTGAGTATGAAGGAGGCGCCATCTTGACGTGGGAGCTTCCTCCCGGCGTAGAGGATGATGGGAGTGAGGCGAGCCAAGCTCGCATGGTTCCCTATCTGGACAAATTTGCCGTTTTGAAACGTAGTCAAGGTGCCGGTGGTGTGGCCGATATCGTCTTCAATGCGATGGTCCGCTCTTGTTTTCCGAATGGCGTGTGCTGGCGCAGCCGCAAGGACAATCCCGTGAACAAGTGGTACTTTGAGCGCTCGCAGGGGACATGGAAATTATCGGATATGAACTGGACCATGTTCTGGACTACTCCAGGACTGACGGACGATTCTCAAAAGTTTCGGGATTACGAGGCCGTGTGCCGCAGTATCCAGCCGAGCTGGGCTGATGACACCGGTGTTGTGGATTGATTGATTACCTGAACATATTCTTAAGACATGTATATACCCATTCATCGCTTGTTCATTCGAAGTGAGGACCTCGGCTCTTCGTACTTATCTTCTCGTCACGAGCTACATCAATTCCAACCTAATCCATTTCAAGTGTGATTCTTTGACCGTGTTAAAGTGGGATCATTATGATGTTTAGCGACGAGAAAGTGATCAACTGAGTAGATCCAGGCATACTAGCTTCCAGAATTAATTACACGGCATCCAACCGGCCAATACGGATATGTAATATACAAAAGGATCTCGATATAATAACCGTGGGCCTGTAGTCTTCGTCCCTGTTGCGGTTCATAATCGATCGAGAGAACCATAAAGAGCGTACTACAATAGCAAAGAGTAAGGTAATGATCAATAGATACTCCGAGCTGATGGAGCTTGTCATGTCAGTTCTATCAGCTCTGGGGGGGGCTCAGAACTTAGTATCTATCAAACGGGGGAGGAAGAGGGATGAATGATCCATCCATCATGGATGGAATGATGCCGAGGACCACTTCCCAAAGGGGACTAGTGCTCGTGCGGAGGTCTTCGTACACCAATTGGAGACACGTGGTTGGTCGCCCTGGCTGACTCAGCCCCTTTTTCCCCCCACAGGGACTTTTTAGCAGATTCCGATAAGACAAGCAAGAATTTCGGCAATTAATCTCTCTCCTGGCCTTTTTCGATCGCGCGCTTCCAGAAACGCAAGGAGATCTTCGGCCTCCAGCCAGCCAGAGCTGCTTGCTTCTTCCATCATCTTTCCAAATCAAACGGTGTGGGGTTATTCTTCTCAATGACTATGCACTTATCAGCGCTTCCTCGCGATTAGCATCCCACCCTCCTCTCCTCCCCCTCCTCTCTCTTTTCCCCCTCGTTTTCCCCTCCCAGTCCCGAGAGATTCAATGCTCGTCCTCGGCCTTGCGATCTAGCCGGGTCCAACGAGTGTGGATGACTTGCTTTGGCACAAAACACTGTTGAAACCACCGATCATCTTGCAGCTCCCCCCGATCTAAAATCCTACCCACCTCTCGGTGTTAGTCCGGCATTCTGACCTGTCATATTCGCCCGATAAAAAAAGAAATCAATCGCCATCGCTACCGCTTATGATCTTCGGTTTGCGCCAACCATAAGACACAATTGGGGCGCATCATGCCGCCGACCACAGCACCCACCACTGCCACACCGAAGCTGGCCTCTCCGGGTTTTAATGCTGGCGCCAGACCATACCGGTCACACAAGGTTAGGGCCTGCGACTTGTGCAGGAAGCGCAAATCGCGATGCACCGTTGATATCCCGGGTCAATCATGCCTATTGTGCCGCGTTCAAGGAGCGGATTGTCACTATCAAGAAGAGACCAATAATGATCCTCCACTCACTAATGGCCATGAATCGAAATCGTGGGTCCCAGATCACACGCGCGTCTCGTCGCTAGGACAGAAACGGAAGCATACCCCAGACGCAATCGATTCCCCGTCGCACCCCAGCCGCCGCCGCGCTTCCAGCATCGCACATTCGGACTCAGCTTTAGACCGTCGGAGAAGTGATTCCAGGAGCCAAGGGGTCGATGACCCCCATAATGAGTCGGTCTTAATTGTTGGTCCTGTCGTGGCCGAGGATGCCCAGGTTATCGAGAGATACATGCCGCCGGAACGGACCAGCAAATCGGTCGAACCAAAAAGCCAGCCATACAACGTCTACTCGAGCGATCCTCGGAAGCCCATTCTTTACACTACTGTATCCCGGCGGAGGCAGGGTATGCGGGTTGGAGTTCCTCCCGGGGAAAATCAGAAGGAGATTCTCGAGCAGATCCTTGGCCCCTTCAAGCGCGACCTAGTCAGACTGTACGCTTTCCCTTCGAACGGATCCCGAAGGTAGTTTGAGACCCCATGCTAATTCTTCTTCTCAGATTCATCGACCGGTTCAATGCAGCATTTCCGATCTTCGATGGGGAAACTTTCTGGGAGGCGTTCTTGTCGGAGTCCCCAGGAGACCCGCCAGCGTCGCTCTTATGCCAGGTCTATTCAATGTCGCTAGTCTATTGGAAACATACTCCCAAGCTGGCCTGTCATCCGAAGCCAGATCCCCGGTACGCGGTCAACATGACTGTCGCTGCGCTCCACGAAGAATTCTCGGCGCCTGGGCTCTCAACAGTCAGTGCAGCCCTCATCGATCTTACCGGTCGGCCCATCTTCTCAATGACAGGGAATGCCATCAGCTGCGGGCGCATGATTTCCCTTGCACATTGTCTCGGACTCAACCGCGATCCAAGTCACTGGAAACTATCCCGCCCTGAGAAGAACCACCGTATGCGGCTGTGGTGGGGCGTCGTCATCCATGATCGCTGGTAAGCCTACCTGACTTACGCCCATATATGGATCTGGCGTCTCACTAACATACACTCAGGGGGAGTTTTGGTCACGGAGTGCCTCCTCAGATTGCTAAAAATCAATATGATGTTCCTCTTCCAACGATTGAAGTTCTGATTCCCCAGGCTTCTCGAACCCCGGAGCGCGTGCGAGCTGCGCATTGCCACATTGCTCTGTGCCGGCTCACTGAGATCTTAGGCGAGCTACTACCCCTTGTATACGGCTTGCAGTCTCGAGCGCACCGCGAAACGACAAAGAAGGTGCGACAGATCCGCACGGATCTTGACGCGTGGGAGGACTCTCTCCCCGACTGGCTCCGCAACCCCATCAGCACGAATACCACGGAGGAGCGCATCTCCGGTACAAGCAGTCTGCAGCTCGGCTTCCTTGCAGTGAAGATGCTCGTAAGCCGTGTTGAACTCAACGTGTGTACCATTGGGCCCTATCTATTCGATTCGCATCTTTACTCACTTTGCCTAGGAGGTCAACAACGCCGAAGCAGATAATCCGGAGGCGCGCCGCTACTTCCAGACCGAATGTCGGCGATCCGCCGAAGAAATCGTGCAATTCATCTCATCTCTCCGGAAGCAGAATTTCCAGGAATTTTGGCTCCCATGTATGCCGCATCCCCAAGATATCCTGCATGATCCGGCATAGTAAATGAGACGGCACTAACAACTTCACAGACAGCGCCTTCCACCTAACCACAACCGCCACCCTTCTCGTCCGTTGCGCCCTCGAAACCACCGACCCCGAAGTGGCCCGCTCTTGCCTAGCCAACGTCGAAACCTTCCGATCCATTCTCCGCCGTGTTCGCGAAGAAGAAGACTGGGACGTCGCCGACATGTGTCTCGATCACTGCGAGCGTCTCCTCAACCGCCTGAACAATAGCACCGGCACCACCACCAGCGCTGAACATCCGCCCACTTTCACAGATCTCGGCCAGCCACCGGATAGCACCCACCCTCATCGACTAGTGAACCCCGCCGCCATCGCCCTCCCAGAGACACAAACAAACAACGATATTGTCGACGACATGATGAGCATCTCCGGGACATTCGGCACGATGGATGGCTTTCCATTCGACATGACAGGGATATGGGATGTTTCCGTATTCCAGGATGTTAATCTGACATAAAGGGTGCCGCTCAAAAGAGGATATAATAAATGTCTGGCCGCTTGCTGCCATCCTCCTCATTTCAACTTAGGGAGTGAATTTTTTTTTCTAATGTTTGTATTTGGTCTAACCGGCTACAAGGGTTGTATTCAACAACAGTACGTGTGGATCGAACATAGGATGGTGTGTGTGGTTTTGTGAAGTTTTTATCTCATATACCCAACTTCGTTTGCGTGGTTTCTCTATAGGGGGTTGTGATTGAATAGATTTGGTGTCTGATTGTATATATAATACAGGATACAAGTGTCATACCGCAATGATAGTATTCATTAGTAGTCACAGTATACTGATGGAACTTACGAATGAATGTAATAGGCCTCGTACTAGTACCAAGATCTATGCAATGGATCGCACGCGTATGCTAATGGATGGATGACAATACTAGTTAGTTACTCAATTCTATAGTAGTGACTCTACTATTGCTACAGCTAGTGTGTACCATTTGCCCGATTGCCGCTTTCGCCCGCCGTACAATTGCAAAATCTTGGTTTTACTGCCGGCGGCATAAATATGAGGCTTCGAGTAGATTTTATAAGACTCCAATTGGCCACCCAAACAGCCACCCAAATGACGCTCTAAACAATTCTCCAAGAAGCTATCTAAACGATCTTCGAAATTATCTTCCAAGTAGTCCTCCAAGCAGCTCTCCAAGCAGTCCTTCAAGCAGCCATCACCTGGCTGGTGTGGCGGTAGCATCTCCCCTCATTCATATTTCTACTTTCAGTAAGACTATGCTTTGCCTTTTATGTTTAGTTATGTTTAGCTATGGTGATGACCTCCCTACGTCGTAGCATGTGTTGCTTCCCGAATTAAGTGTGAATACTGCGAGTTTGGGGAATTCGAGGGCATTCCGGGCTATCTTCTTAGCTTCAAACGGTGAAGCAATATGCATAGCTAGCATCTTCCTTAGCGGGCTTGATCGTCTGATATGAAGTGAATTGATTTTAATCTAGATAGACGCTTGATGTACACTGCAAGAAAGGTAAGGGAAGGGATAGGGGAGAACGGTACATAGACAGCACATCATCAAACGATTAACGAGGAAGTGGGCTGGTATTCCCCCCACGCCTAAAGCGTTCAAGCAAGGGATGAGCATTATTTTGACTACCAATGTGGATAAACCGTCTCGGGAACTGCGAAATGTCTTCCAATGATTTCTTCTCCAGAACCTCCACCAAGGTATTCGCCCTGAAAACCATACTAATGGCTGGATTTGTTGCATAGTATACCACTTCACGACCGAGAGAATCGATGTATCTAACCCGGAAGGCTAGACGTAGGGCCGGATCATCGTGAGCTTCAGAGCTTGAGGTTGCATATAGACTTGTATGTATTTCTCCCAAAGGACAAAGCTCTAGTTTGATAAAGACCATTTCATCTAAGACATCCATATTAGCCGGGAACCGAATCTCGCAATAGTAGATATAGATGTGGCGCTTGAGCTGGTCTTTAAGCTTATAGCTATATTCACGATTTCGGACGTCTTCATTCTTCCACACCACACTTTTCACGCCCTGCCGCTTCTTGTCACTAGCCCCAGCGATGAGGGGCTGTGCAGCAGTGACACCGACGGGGTCAAGAAAACCTTCACCTATAACTCTGGCTGTAAGGCCTTGAAGGATATCAATGGGAGCTTCGTAGGCCCTATCTCCTGCCTCGGCCTGACACTGTTCTACCAGTCCTTTCATTTCTGCTGCGCCCGTCTGAAATTCTTGACCCTGCAATTGTGAAAAGCATTTCAGTGCTGCAATAGACTCCGAATCAGTGGATGGCGCATCACTTCCTCCTTTATCAGAGCTAGTAGAACATCTCTCCTTGTCTTGAGGCCGCGGTGACTCCGCACACAGCCGAGATAAACGGTTTCTGTAATCTACCTCCCGCTCGTCTAGATGCTTGTGAACAAAGTCTCCTATCTTTTGATACTGCTCCACATTGAAGGATTCATGAACCCTCACCCTTTCAGTGGCTCTCCTGCTGGGCTGCGGGCTTCTTTCTTTGGATTCATTCCCATCACTTTTCGGTCTCCTTGGAAGGAATTTCAAAACCATTAAGAGGCCGCGAGTAAGTGAGCCAGCAATCTTCTCTATTTCTTTGATATCTTCAGCTTGACCCATGTTTCTTCTGGCTAGCCAGAGCCGGACACCCTCGTCCACAGTGTCAGCAATCAGAGCTTCTCCTCCGAGTCTTTCTTTCCTTGCTTGGCGCAAGATATAACCAATAACGCTGCTGTTTTCACAGAAAAACGGTCGAATTTCGTACTTTAACGATGGGATGAAGTTAACTGCAAATCTCAGAGCCTCGCTTATCTTGATACTATGTCTTGTGCTAACGGACCAGATCTCTGCAGGTAGAGGAGGACAGCAGATAAAAAGACGATCCCGTAAGGGGTCACGATAGAGTGGGTAGTCAAATCCGCGTAGAGACAGAGTATGGCGCGAAGACCTCACAATGGCTCGTATAAGCTTCTCTGGTTGAGGCCCACATAGGAAAATAATCTTAGCTTGGCTGGTTGCGAGCAAAGTTTCATGGAACTTTCTGGCATCAGGATCTGTCAGAATATCATGACCAAGATGCTTAAGACCTATACTCGTAAAACTCTTAAAGTCGTAGGTCCAGATGAGAATATTTCCCTCAGTAAAGCCACATCCATCTAGAGACCATGGGATTGTGAGCATGTGCTGCTTGTCATCATTATTACTAGCTCTCATGGGCGTATCATTCGCCCCTGAAACAGCAGCATAGTCAAGAATTGCGGCCACTTTGGAGGTCAAACTACCACAAAAGGGTATATGAGCCAAATTTTCACTGAAATCGGACGTTTCTTGTTGTAGCTGGAGTGATTCTCTGACCATGTTAAAGGCCTCTTCGTCATTATTCAAAGCGAGTTGTAATGCAGCGTCGAAATCTCTCTCGAACACAGCCTTAATACTTTCTTTTCCTCTATTCTTCTCAGCAGCTGCCTTCTGTCGTGAGTTGAAAACGGCCCAGTATTGGATCTGTCGATCTGGTGCCTTACTGGGACCAATGTTTGCCTTGGTCCGAAGTTCTTTGTTCAGGGCCAAATTTCCCTGCACGAGCGGTGACATTATATTAAGACCCCATCCCAAGGTTGAGGCCTTACCATCATTATGGTACTTTGATCCCAGTCGATTCAACATTCCGTGATGGGTCCTGAAAGCTCTGCAGAACAGGGCCTCAAGTAGATTGCTGCAGGCTTGATACCATCCATCAGTCACAGTGTCCTTAGGAAAACCCCAAAGCTTGATAAACCTAGCATATCGATGACCGTTTCCTATCCACAGACTAAAGTAGTAGAGACTTGCTGTTGATCCCTTGATAATTTGCTGGGCATGTTGGCACACAATCCGCCGCCATGATAAAGAGCATTGGCCTATATATAACCTCCACCATAATGTATCTCGGTCATCACATACAATGCTTGCGTAACCTAAAGGCATATTCCAGGGCTCATTACTATCAATTTGTTGACAGATAATTGCGTTCAGTGCAGTTCTTGTTACTTCATGGCCCTGGAACTGGATAATGTGTGGACTTAGAAGGTGGATCAGAGATTCTGTTACTTTCTCCACACCACCATGCTCATCAATGATCTCAGGGTAATTGCAATGAGGCGATGATGATCCCGGTAATAATCCCTGCATAAGTTCACTGATCATTTCACTGCACAGTGGCTTAAGGTATGGAAAGATGAATTTTTCTTGCAGTGAAAGCTCCTAAGACTGGTCATTACTAAGGGCAATTGTTCCTGGTAAAGTTAAATACTCACATCCCTCACGCTTTCATCGATAGCAACCCACTTCTTGTCCGAATGCTCGGGTGACTGGACAGATATATTCAGATTTACTGAAGTGTAAGGGTCCAATGTCCTCTGTCTTTTGAAAGAGATCAGTTCTGATGCTGAGCTCGGCCTCTTGGTGGTGAAAATCCCATGTTGCTTCGATCCCCCTAGCACCGGGTCCAAGCCAATGTCTAAAGCTTCCCAACAGAGTTAGCAGATCTGCATAGTATACAAGAGCTTTCTTTCTACGTGATAACATACACTCTGACGTATTCGGGCAGATTACTTGATGATGCCCTTTAATTTTGCATCTTCTGCACGTAATCTTCGTGCACTTGATGATGTTATGGTCCCCTTTGCAGTAGATGCAAGTCTTAAATCCAGGGCAGTATTTATCAATATGCGCCAAGGACTTGCAGTATTGACACGCTCGTTCCGGGTTATAGGACATGATTCCAAGCCAGTGTGAGCTCGTGCCGTGCAAATGATTTCCTATTGTTTCCTGTGTGGCTGTAGTATGGGATGAGGAAATCTCCCTATACCAGTGTGTGTGGATTTGGCAAGTAATAGAACACTTACAGTGTTAGCTTTCACTCGCCGAAGCTTCACGGGGCGACGACTAATATCCCACTACTATGGGTGCAGGGAGATGAGACTTCCCGTGAATCCTGCACCAGAAATAGGCAGCTGCCAACTGCATCTACACATCGTGTGTCACATGCCTCATGTGACTTTTCCGTGGCGTCATCATTGTATGATTGAGACCACTCCTAAGGCTACTATTACTGTGAGCCCTGTTGAGCTATATTGACAAGACATGCCTAGGAAGGATGAGGTCAGGGGACATCAACTAACTAATCATTGTCATGTCATCCTGACCAAGGTAATTCTCGGAGTCTGATACGTCACGTAATATGACATGGGATGACCGAGGTCGACCACACAGCCGATGTATTACAAGGATTCAAGAGATCCACTGATAAAGCTATCGGTTTCTGCGAAACGTACTAGAGTAGTAGGAGAGGGGGAATAACTATTTATGTATGACCTGACCCCTTTCAGTCCCCTAGTCTCACGTGAGGCACAAGTTGCCACAAAGGCAAGCTGATATTACATGGTAGTGAGCCTACCCTCAGCCAGACAGGCCCCTGTGGCGCAATCGGTAGCGCGTAAGACTTGCAAGTACTCCCGAGGACCCCTTTACAGCAAACACGTTACTAACTATCTCTGCAGCTAGATTGAGATCTTAAGGCTGTGGGTTCGATCCCCACCAGGGGCTATTCATTTTTTCCTTTTGCTTGAGGGGTCTCCGGGAATGTGGAACACACCGCACTTCCGAAACACCCGCAACGCGCGCTCCCGACCACACGGCCCTGCCACCGATTTGCATACAACGATTTCAATTTATTGAAAATCAAGCGATTATCAATGTATCATACAGATTTGTATGTACAATGATGCTATTCAGGAACAATATTAGAGATTAAGAGTCCCTGAGCGGGATGCTGCATATGGGCCATTTCTAATCGAAAGAGGCCATCTTCGTAGCGCCACCAACTGCTTGCTCGGTCGTTGTATTGGGATCCAGAAGGGATCGGACCTGTATAGCCAGGAACGCTGTACGCAGCTGTAGGGATAAGCACGAAAGGTGCCATTCGAGGTCTTCCTTCAACATCAATCTCTCGCTGTGCATAGAGGCCGGCGGGAGCAGATGTATAGGATGTCTGTATAGGTGGACTATGTGGCAGACTAGGTGCTTGGCTAAGCGGCTCACGCGTTAGAACAGGTGTAGGAACTGGTGTAGTGATTGCAGGAATACAACGCCTTTTTGCAGGCACTGTAGGCGTATCCTGATCTATATCCGCCCGTTGCTTCATGGCATCAGATTTTGCTGATTTGGCTTGCTGTTTCGCTCCGAGATAGGCGCTCACATCAATCATGAGCACCCTGACAAGCTTGACTCCTTCAGACAGCGAAAGACCAAACAAAAGGATAGATTGGCTCGTGCTCAGCGACTTCGACTTGCACCACCCCGCGTGGCGCGGCAAAAACGCCGAGTCAGACCCAGAGGCAGACTTTTTACTGACCCTTGCAGACGATGCTAACTTAGATTTATGGCTAGCTAGAACCAGACACCATCACCTGGAAGTGAGTAGGATAGCAGACGATAACCAACCTCGTCTTCAGCACCCCCGAACTTATAAGCTGCACGATTGTCCGTGAGGTGACCCCGGCCGTACACAACAACTCTGACCATCTAGGCACGCTCTCCAGCGGGGAGCAAGCACAAGGATGCAAAAACATGCAGCAAAAGTGGGTTGTATGGGCTATCTAGATCGCGCAGCGGAACTAGCGCGGAGAGGTCTTTATCACTACCTCAACATCTACCTGAACGCCGTCAAATGCCTCGATCCATGCCCCAACACACGGACAAGCGCATGCTGCATGGAGAAAAAGTCTGCGTATCAGAGGTCATACTTGCACTGTCATCTTCTCTCCCGGGTAGCACGGCTTTTGTCTGAAAGGAATTTTGTTTCCCGGGTGGAAACGGCTCTTCAGTGAAATTTTATCTTGACCATCAGACGATCATCCCTCCGTCACAACATGATCGGAACAGTCGTTAGATGAACAAGTTATATTGGTGCTATGATCGAATACCTTTAGCGTGCAAGGGAAGATCATGGGATGAACAGTGGCGCTACAACACAAGACAAGCGATCTACGAGTATTATCAAGACAAACAAACAACATCACATAACATCAGTAGCTGCTCGCCATAATAGATCATCTTCCAACAGCCACCTGACCATGAAGTCCACTCCAGGGACCCTTCGCTGGCTGTTGACTCTGCTGAATTTTGGCCCGTGACCGAGTCAATCGTGCCCCCGACGGCCACATACTGTCCTCGCCCGATTCGCCCTGCCGGTCACGTAAGGTATCCTCCAGGTTCTGGTTAAGTATACTATAAACATCTTCCAGCGCCTGTTGTGCATCCTGCGCTGTCTCTATCCCTTCCTCTAGTCGGTACCCGACGTATTCTTGTTCAGTCATACCTGCGGCATCCGAAGCAGATGCCCATGCCTCGGCCAGGTCAACAAGTTGGTCTGGCTTGGCAGATTCTGTACTCGTGGCCTGGTGCGAAGCTAGAGTTGCTGTCGCATGTTTGAACCGTGGCTGGCGTGCCAGAATCGGGTACTCTGGGAGAAGGTGGCTTTCATCTCGCAGCCTGCTCAGAATGCGAAGAGTGGTGGCTTTTTCCTTCGCAAGCATACCCGATAGGTAGAATTTCTGTAGTGCCAATGCGCGCTGGCTCCTGGCCAACGGCTGAAGGACATCGCTAGCAAAATTAAGGACTCCCAATGCATCCGGAGATTGTATTTCCTCTGATGCATTCTTTCCTTGCACCAAGCTAGTAGGCCGGGATGAGGGCTTTCCAGCCGGGAGAGTAACTGGTTGGCAAGCTCTGGAGGCCGCATCGAGCAGACGCTTGCGAGCATCTGCATATGCAGCGTATTGTTGTGCGATCTGTGCTTTCTTCTCCCCAAGCAGACGCACAGACTCATCCATGTCTTCGGGATGAAAGTCTCGGGAGGCCGAACGGTTCTCATTGTTTCCAGCACTTACTAATTTCTCCTCCACCCAACGCACCAACTCATTACGAGTCCGCTGTAACGCCACGCCCTTAACTGCGCGTGGGATATCTTGGGCCTCTACGGGCGTTTGTTGCGCCTGAAGTTCTTCTAACAACCCTTTCTCTCTCTCCAGCTGAGCCTTGGCGCGGATAACGGCTTTCTCCAGGTTATGCATCTGCTCTTCGACGGTAAGCCCTGTGGTAGAGCCATGTCGGGTAACTTCAATTTCTGGTGGTGGTGCAAGCTGCTGATAAGGAATCCCACTATCCTCTAAATCCGCTGGTTTGGGCGTTTCACGTTGTTTGAGCTCTTTGATGTAGTGTTCAAAAACCTGAAGCTTCGCATGTCGACGCCGGTCACGGAGAAGCCGCAGGTACTCCTGTAAGTCCGCGGACGAATCCACTGGTAACTTTTCCGCCCGTGGTTTGCTCCTTTCACGGCCCACAGAAGTCACCTTCTCCACAACTGACTGATATTCCCTCTTTGCAGCCACATTCGACTGGAGCGCTTCCAGGTACTGTCTTCGCAACCCTGTCAACTCTGATGGAAGCCGCTTGACATCGACCACTGCTTCGTGAGGCACTGATAACGACAGATGGGATTGACTGTGGCATTCTGGGTGCTCGGTATAATTTTCTGCGAACTCGATATGGGAGCGAAGATATATGGTCAAAGCTTGCCGAATCAACAGAGCATCCTGGCGGCTTTTGATGTAAGGTGCCAGAGGTTCGGCGATTGAGGGGATGTGGGTGGGTGTTGCGTGAGTCAACTCAACAGATTGCGCCATTGGAATGACTATTTGTGAGCAGACGTGATTATCCCTCCGACCTCGAACTTGTTGGGTTGTCACGGTAAGGTTTGTCCCTTAACAAGATAATTAAAATACCCGTGATGTTGAAGTAAGGTTCTCCTGTTGTTATGAAATGGTTGCAGACGGGTGTTATTCCGATGTCGATCACACTAAGGGGTTCCACCGGTTCCCACTCTAGTCCAGGGAAGCAGTAATGAACTCCATTCCCACCCTCGCTGTGCCTTCCACCACTGTCAGACGCGCCGTTTGTTACTCTCAGCTATGAGGGCTACCGGGTGGCTCGATAACATGCAAGAGGGAAGTATCGAGGAGTTAGGACGACGATGCGGTGACCTCTGGTCATGTGACCAGGCCCATTCACAAGTGTGCCTTTCTAAATTCTGAGGACAACCATGAGGAAGAGAGTTTTAAGGTTCAGTTTCTGGAATTTTATTACAAAGTCTTCATCGTCCATAGCCCTGGCTGACTTCATGCAAGCTTATTATATGCGTACTACATTTCAAGCTATGAGTACTGACTTGGTGATCATATGCAGATTGTATATTATTGTGATTTACTGACAGGTATAGTACTTAAATCAGATCGCCTGCAACTTATATCATTTACACATCGATCCCATATGTCGTCTTAGATGCTATGCTGCCAGCTGCTCTTCCCAGCCCCGATTTACTGAATCACACTCTGGTTGAGGTACAGGTCGCAGGCATGCGGATGCTGCACACAATACTTTGGTACCAGGGCTGTCGCCTGCACCCCGTTGGCCACCAGATACTCGCGGAAGTTCAGGATGCGCTGGGTCATCAGCGTCGTGCGCTTCTGCCCGTTCTCACGATTCCCAGACCACACCAGCTCCGCCAGCGCAGCGGCACGCGGCCAAATTAGACTGGATACCGTCACATCATCCACTTGCTCTGACCAGAGAGGTGCCTCTGCGCCTATAATGTGTTGAGCCTGGGTAGCGGTCAAATTGTGTGTGAAGTCGTAGTCATAGATCCGCTGCCATGTCTTGTACGGCGCACACCACGAGCCCCCGTTGCCACCATAGTTAAAGTTGGGAGTGCTTGCATCGGGATTACTCATTACATCATAGCGAGGGTCATTTGTGAGAAAACCTCCTATCCCACAGTCCAGATACATAAAATCCGCTGATGATACAATCACGTCGTAGCCCTTGGCAGTCAGTTGATTGATATAGTCCAGGCCATTATTCCAGTTTTGCATCACGATATTCGTGGGAACATCATGTGCATGTTCTGTGGATAGTACAATATCTTCCCACATGACCAGTCGCCGTGAGGTACTGTAGTTCTGGAAGATCGGCACAGCATGGTCAATCCAGTACTGGGCTAGGTCATTATAAGTTCGCGACGGATCCTGCGCAAACCACTCAGTGACGTAGCTGCTGAAGTTGAAACAGTTCGGCTGGATCTCATCTGCCCCAACATGGAACCAGTTGTCTGGGAAGATTTCAGACAGCTCATTATAGACCTGTCGGACTATATCATACGTGCCGTTGTAAATAATATCCATATGGCCGGGCGGGGGCTCTACCGCAGTATGCAGGGCATAATTATCATTGGACCACCAGGAGTCCACGCAGGTTACCATCTGGGGGTCGACCTGCTTCCACCCAGAGGCGGAATGGCTGGGCATATCAATCTCCGGGATGACCCGTACACCACGCGCTCGCGCGTAGGCCACGACATTGCGCATATCAGCATGCGAATATACTTCGCGAGGAGAGTAGGCGTCATGAATCATTTCCGGATAGGCGTCAATCTCCACGGGCCACGATTGGGTGTCTTCCATGTGCCAGTGTAGAACATTTAGTTTAGAAAGAGACATGCCGTCCAGCTGCTCGTATATCTTGTTGACCGAAATAAAGTTTCGACCAGTGTCAAGCATAATACCCCGGTAAGGATAGAGAGGTGCATCCTGAATCTTAACTGGCTGTTCAATGATCAAACCACCCTGTCCGTCGGAGATGACCAGCTGCTGGAGAGTGGTGAAGGCATGGAGCGCCCCCCACACGGTGGGAGCCTCAATGACCACCGAGGTAGAGCTCTCGGTGACCTCCAGGGTGTAAGACTCGTCTACCCCATGCTGAAGATCTGCGGCAACATCCAACACGTTCAAATCAACAAATTGGAGCGATGGCAGTGCCTGCGGGGACCTTTTAGTAGCCCCGGCCGTACCGGTGGGGAAGGGTTGATAAGACGGCACGGGACCTTCGGTTGCTGCAGGTACCCATTGTAGGGAGACGATAGAATTCCAGGCACGATTCCATCCATTGGCCAGAATGAAATCGGAAGTGTCCCGGGAGGTACGGAGACTAACGAAGTCGGCCAGCTGCTTAGGACCCGACGAAGCCCAAGTGATGTTTTGTGGAGCTGGTAAGGGATTGACGTTGACGGCAGCGGCCCCAGCCACTCGCAACGTGAGGCACGCCAGCCAGAGATGATCAAGCAGCATGGCGGAGAATTAGTGTCGACACTCAGAGCGAGGGCGGATGAAGAGTGCGGAGAATCATGGTGGGGGAGCATGGGGTTAAAGAAGCAAAGAGGATAAGGATCAGCGGTGGCTGGATGCAGGGAGATACCATGAAACGGGGGAATGCATGAATGAACAGGAATGATGCGAAGCTATCTTGTTCTAGTTGACATAGTTGCCGCAGGTAACTAGTCAGTTACTACGGAGTACTTTGTAATCATTATTGAGTCTAATTTGAACGACGTGGAATGATGTTTGTTTGTTTGTTTGTTCCATTGCTTACTATACTCCGGATTCCAGCGCCTTACGGGCCTGGTTCTCCACGTGACCATTGACTGAAGGTACCTACTACGTAGTACTTTTCGGAGCCCACTAAAGATGGTAGGCGGTCACCCGCCCCGTCATTATGCAATGGGCCATACGGAGTCCAGGCGGCAAGCACCGCGTACCTGCGCGATTCCGCCCTCTGGGTTTCTGTTGGTGAACTTCTAACATCTTACTTTCACATTTACTTACCTTAGCTCGGTTGTTGGAACTAGTTCTGGGTCCACGAGGCTGTGCATAACTGTATATCTTAATTGTACGCAGTCCTATTGGATCCGGGATTAACTAGGTGTCGTCTCTACGCATTCTTTCGGTAGTACTTTTGGTTACATCGCAGTGTTTGGCTCGCGACTCCCGATGACATCGATCATTTATGAGACATCAATAACCACGACAAGCCCAATTCTGAAGCGCTTTCTTTGGAATCCCTCCCCATTACGGGCGTGGGACGTCCTGCGAGTACCAACGCCAATCCGCGACGCAATTGGCGCAACATGGAGGATATCCGGCCGACCGCGAAATGGGCGAATCGCTTGTTGCGCCCCTTGAAATCCATTCACCACCGACTCCAGAAACACTACGAGATTCGCAACAGCATAGCAGACACGAAATCGAAAGTCAAGCCCGATTCCCACAATTCCCACCGTTCGCGAGCCCCGATAAACAACAAGAGAACCTGTAACGAACCAGGCTGCAATCTTTCAGACGAGGAACCCGACGATCCAGCATGGATCCCAGGTAACCGGGGAAATCGCCGGCCCAGGCATAATTACTCGAATCGCGGACAGAGGAAGGGCGCACAGAGACGTAGTCGACTGTTGATCAAGAGCCCGGAAGTGCAGAGGACGCTGCCTGGCGCTATCGAAATCGCTACCCCATTGATCACAGGAACTATACCAGGACCCACGGAGGCGACCTTGTCTATTCGCAAACGGCTTTTTCGGAATTCGGGACCACCTTTGAGCGCTGTCGGGGCCAACAGGCAGTCGCGGACGAATAATCCCAGTTTCCCGGCATACCAGGGCTCATGGAAGGAAGTTTTGGATCTTTCTGGAGACCCGGGCTTGGTGGATATTGCGCGATTCTTGGATCGCATGCTTATCAAATTTTTGGAGAATACCAGACCTGCTCCGACAATACACAAGCATGACGAGGAGAATCGCGGGGCCCGATCGTTACTATCTATGGCTGCGCGACGGCTGCCGGGGTTCATCGCCGAGGAGCAGCGCCTGCAGGATCAGGTGGAGCCGGATGAGGATGTTGACATGTGTGATGCATACTTTACTGAACTCGAAGCTCAATATGCTCCTGGCGGCGGCGGGTGGCAGCCGCTCCGTGAAGCTGTGCGTGCGCAAGGCATCCACCTGATCTCTGAGATGATGATGAGAGAATGGATACCCAGTTTGGCGGTCTGTCGCCTGCTAGGGGAATGTCTTGAGCACGGGGAGTTGGATGCCTTCGAAACACTTATGTCACAATATCTTACGACCATCAAGACTCACGACTACCCAACAGCTTTTGATCCTTCGAAACCTGTGGGCCACTGCGATAACCCTATCTACATATTGCGCAGTTACTACTCGAAGGCCCCCGAACGTAGATCCTTTGTTTTTGATGAGATGACAAAGCTCCTGTCTCGTAGGGCTCTTCCGCCAGAGTGGATGGTCACTACAAGATGGAAAAAGTGCGTGGATGGGGCTATTCGGTCACTATCAATTGGCGACGGAGATTCAGCTGCTGCGACCCGGACTATCGAGGCTATCATCCTTTCATCTGCTGGTATATATCCCGGCACGGATTCGCTGGTAGCTCGGAACAGGGGGAGAAAGGTACCTCGTTCTGTACGTCTAAAGGACACCCGTGCATCAGTAACGAATCCTACAAGCGTGCCTAAAGATCAAACTCCGTGTCCTGTTCCCATCCAAGATGCGCTCAGCAATCTTTCAGCAAGTCTAGTTACCGCACTGTGCGGCATGTATATGGCACGGACGCAAGCCTCCGGTGCCAATGACAAGATAACAGGAACGAAACTCAGACATATTGTCGGAACGCTGTCTTTTGGGGTACAACGGGCAGTTGGATTGGTACTGTCGCGGCGCGAGATGGAGGGTCCAAGCTTCCAATCCCTGCGTCGGGGATACGTCTTGTTGGGTGAGTGGACGCTGCAGTGCACTGAAAATTCCACGCCTGAGGTCATTAGCCAGTCCGGCGCCATCTCGCCAGAAAATCTAGAGTCGCTTTGTATAGCGTTGATACACCAACAGGATGCAGTCAAACAGCTAGCAGAGTTTGTCCAACAACTGTTTCGATGCTGTGGACATGCGCGTGAAGATGATCCTGCGAGGACACCTCGAAAAATTCGAGCTATCGTATGGCGGCTGGCGCGGCTGACGAGTATGAAGGGCATTTCTCTGCTCCTCGCCAAGGTAGCTGCGGAAACAGCAATGGCGTTGGCGGAGGTTACATTGGATGTGGATGACCACGCGTGGGCTCTCGAAATTCAAGAACAAGCCGCTTCATCCCAGCAAGAAGGGAATCTCCACAAATCTGCCGCATTGGCACATGTGCCACAAAACGATGCGATTCACCTGTACCGATGGGAAGAAAGCATTGGGGAATGGGTATCCAGCACGCCGGTCGCCAAACCTCTGGCTTCCCGTAATGCGGATGGCGCTTCAAGCCCTCTTGCTGCGACAGCTAAGCGGAGACCATCGGCGCTCTCCTGCTCAACCAGTAGCAGATCGCCCAGCCCTGAACTTTCGGAGGAGGCTGCATCCAGCGTGACATCATCTGCGCCATCGATGAGCGGGAAACGAGGACGCGGAACGAATGATTGGAGGCCACCGTCACCCAAGAGACTTCGGTCAAGCTCGAGGAGGATGACTGCAGCTCCAGTCGCGTCTGGCGCTTTGCCAGCGACACGTGAGCGCCTTGCTGCGGCTCGCTCCCTCGAGCCAGATTCTGCACCGATTGCCACCCGGGCACGAACGGCCCTTCGCGATTTACCCCAGGCCAAGAACAGCACCTTGAAGAAGACGAGACTACAACCAGGCCCGACTACACCCAGCATCTCACGCGCGGACCCTATCAAAGTGACTCCCCTCATCGAGGTGGTTATCGTCAACCAGCCCGTATCGGTGAGGTCGCTGAATCGCACCCCCAGAACGGCACGAAAACAACCACAACAACCACCACCACAGATTCCTAGCCCATCGGTGGTGAAAGGCCCTCGACGCTCCACTCGTACGCGACCTCCCCCAGCCGAGCGGGTCATTCCATGCTCGGACGATGACAGCGAGGACGAGCTGAGTTTTCTGTTGTGAAAGAGCGGGGTCATGATGGTTACTTTTGCCCGTTCAGTATGTGCGGAGAGTGATGTGAAAGTCGGAGTGGTTGTTGGCGACGTCTCATTTTTAGACGAACTGCTACTTTTGGACCCATCCATAAGTCATTGATGGCGTGGTCTCTGTTCATTTTCAATTAGAGTATCATTGTGATTCTAAGGTTTTATTGGCGAAATGGGCGCGATTGATTAATTCCGGGCAGGAGTGGATTGATTGGTTAGGTTCAGTTTGAGGATTTCTTTTTGGTTTCTGGCTTGATTGATTTGATTGACGATGATACCCGCGGGCAAAGGCTTTCTTCCAATTTAGTTCAACTCTTATCCTTATATTTGTTCGAGCCCGCTATGTAAGATGCTAAGTTATGCCGGTGCCTCACCGTCTGAAGCAACAAATGATATGACCCTCAACGCCGTCAACCCCCTCGTCCTAAAAGCTTCGCCGTAAATCCATGGATCAACGAATTAACTATGCATGTTGGAGCGGATATAGGAGCAGTCCTCGCTGCGGCTATATATACGAATACACATTATATCGTATTGAAATATACTAGTGTCGTGCCCCGCAGTCATATTCCGCGTCACTTTCCGCGTCAATCAGGTCCTGTCGAAGATATTCCGCCTTTTATTTAGCTGCCAGCCGACGGCTCCGATCCCTTGTAGCCTTAACAGCAAATGAACAGATGGTAGATGCAAATATTGGATGTTTGGAGGCTTTGCGTGTGGCTAGTTGGTCCGCAGTTATCTTCCCGCTATTAGGGATCACGATAGTCCTGAATGAACAGACAAGGGTACATCACTGAGTCCACCATCATCACATGGACTCGGACTTGAATTTTACTTTCTCTCCTTCCAGTTCTGCGGGCTCGGCTATCTCTTCCTTTATTACTACCCTCTTATGCCGTAATTTCCTTGATGGCTGCCTCCAGCTCCTTCATGTTTCCACCCACGACGCGCTTCTCCTGCAGCTGACCATCCTTGTACAGGACAAACGTGGGCATAGCGCGCACCTCCAGTTCCTGCGCCACCGAGCGGACCTTATCGACGTCGACCTGGATGAAGCGCACATTGGTGTAGGTTTCGCTGAGCTTGCCGACCACTGGCGCAACGGCCTTGCACGGACCGCACCAGGTTGCGAAGAAGTCCACGACCACAGGACCGTTGGAGGTGAGCGCCTTGAAGATGACGGGGCTGGACCGGTCAGTTCCCAATTTACTATCTGCGGAGGGGGAGTTCGGAAGACGACTCACTTGTCAACCTCGATAACCTTTCCGTGCGACATGGTGGATCCGGTGGTGTTGTTGTTGCCGAAGAAGCGAGTACGGATGAAACGGAGAACTGTACGGCGTCAGTAAGCAGGCAGATGAAACGCACTATCCGTATGGCTTACCAAAGTAGACGACGATGGCGAGGATAATGCGGGAAAGCTCCATACTGGCGACGGGGAAACAGGCAGACGGACTGAAGTGGGTGGAGAGGTTTAGTCCTCCGGAGTAATCTCTCGGCGGGTGTCGCGAGTACCCAGCTAAATTGCGCCAAAAGGGTCGTGCTGCGCCAAGCGAATGATAAGTAAATTAGCAGGAAGATTTCAATGCAAATCCAACTACGTCACACCAGCAGTTAGCCTATGCTTGATTTCTCTTTTAATCTCTGTCTTTCGAGAACAATACGCATGTGCTGACTAAACTACGGAGCAACGGAGAAAGACACGCGCCGATGACATGGTGAATGCGATAAGTAGATACTGTTTGTACGGAGTACACCTGAACTGATTTATTTGAGACCCTGCTAGAAGCGGTTACTGAATCTTCAGTTTGACTACTGGTAGACTGTAATGATACTAATACTAGTAGTACGTACCTTTTGGTGATCAAACGGCGTTGCACCTGAGTGCACAGTACTTACTAGTACCTTAAGTGGACTGGAACCGACCGGATCTGATTGGGCGTTATTTTTATCCGCAGGATAGCTGACAAAGCCAGCACAACCAGCACAACTAACTAGTTATCACTCCAGATCATGGCGGCGATTGCCTCCCTGAAGATGGCGGAGTAGTAGTGATCGACGAGGAGGATACGCGTCAACCATCATCTAAAGATGTCCCTTCCCTTCAATTGATTTACTATAACTCAACATGGCAGGCAAGAAAGGCCCCGTCCTACCCTACCGCCGGGGCTCAGACGCCTCCGAAGCCGACTTCTTCGACATTCCCGAAGAGCCCTGCTGGTCCATCATCAAGCGCCAGCTCCGCTATCTTAAGAGTCCGCGGGCCTGGCTCGCCATCTTCGTCTTCGTGCTGTTTGTCCTATTGCTGCGTCGAGAGAAACCTCCGCCTCCGCCCCTTCCTCATATTGATTACGACCGAGTCGATTGGTCGCTCTACGCCTACAGCCAGTATGCGACCTCGAGCCCATACTTGTGCAATGCGCTTATCGTCTTCGATACTCTGCAACGGCTTGGCAGCCGAGCGCAGCGGGTGCTTTTCTACCCCGAGAACTGGGACGTGCTGGTAGATGACGATCGCGACCGGGACAGCCAGCTGTTGGCGATGGCCCAGGAGAAATACAATGTGCTGTTGGTGCCGATTGATGTGCAGATGGTGAAGGCAGGATCGGGTAGGACATTCATTACAGCGGTTAGAGTTGTCAACGGCGTCAGGAGCTAATGCAGGAAGGATAGGACCAAGCGAATCCTGGGACAAGAGCATCTCCAAGCTTCTTGCCTTCGGAGAGACCGAATTCGAACGTGTCATTCACATCGACTCGGACGTTAGCGTTCTACAGAACATGGACGAATTGTTCTTCCTCCCGCCCTCTCAAGTCGCCATGCCCCGCGCCTACTGGGAACTGCCTGATATCAAGCAGCTCTCGTCTCTCTTGATTGTTCTCCAGCCGTCCTACAAAGAGTGGTATGCGTTGATGGATAAGGCTCAGGCCATTTCGTACGGACAGGTCGACTCGAACGTCAGCTCGCGAGTCAGGTACGATATGGAACTGATGAACGAACGGTATGCGGATTCGGCCTTGGTTCTGCCGCACCGACAGTACGGACTGGTCACCGGCGAGTTTCGCAAAGACGACCACCGGGCGTTCCTGGGTAATGAGCATGAAGAATGGGATCCGGAAAAGGTACTAGCGGAAGCGAAGCTGGTCCATTTCTCCGACTGGCCGCTGCCCAAGCCGTGGGTGATGTGGCCGCAGGAACTGCTGGCCGATATGCTGCCCAAGTGTAAGGTCAAGCCAGGCACGATGCATGAGAGTGGGTGCAAGGATCGTGAGATTTGGAAGAAGCTCTACGATGATTTCCGGCGGAAACGAAGGGTTTGTTCATTCCTCCTGCCTGGTTTGTGTGTTTTCGTTGCTAATGATGGTGAACAGGACGTGTGTAAATTGCTCAGTTATCCGGCGCCAAACTGGCCGCCTCGGGAGAAACCCCAAGGTCCTCTGGAGGCGGCACCAGAAGGTGTTTCAGTTCCTCCTGCTAGATGATTTCATTGTGTATTTGGCATGGTGTTTCGGATGTGGTTACGGGTTTCGCAGATTGTATATAGACAACATGGATAATTTTGACTGCACATTGGCGTCGATGGATTGTACGATAAGTGAATGGACATAATAAGTATCTCCAATGACCGCTGCCTGTGCCGTAGCACTGGGCATCGTCAACCCCTGCGACCTGTCATCGCGGTTGACGCTTAGTACGTCTTATATGACGGTCACGTCATATTTGAATCAATTCAATTGTTATCAGTTTTAATTCTTATACCTGATCGAGTCCGCTAAGTGTTGCCATCGCTTAAAGCAAAGAATATGGCCCTAAATGCTGTTATCCCCGAACGTTTTCGATACGACTTACCTATATACATGTTGTGTGCTGCTTTGCGGGAACAACGCGTGGTGTTGTAATACACGTGACCCGCAACAGAGGTGCCACTTGAGCTCAACTGCGATGGGAAATACGTAATTGATAATTCAGCCCCGTCTGCCTCTGCTTGGGGAACTCCTTATGGTGAGTTATTGCTGGTCAAAAATTCTCATTGCGCTCCCTCTTACGTCTTCTGTTTAATTAACATGAATAACCGTTTGAGTTGTGATAGATCGCCGCAACAATTTAGAAAGAATCGCCACAGTCAAAATCGGATCGCATATGGATAAGGTTGCGCATACAGTATAATAAGATATATAAGAATGGCATCCTGGATCCAACGCCAGAGTGGATCTCATCAGACGCAGCTTGCGGCTACAGCAGTGATTTCGGGAGCTGCGGTCGCTGGTGCGATACTTGGCTACCAGGCTTTCAAAAGGAAGGATGCAGTGCAGCGCCTCAAGGCATCCATCCCAGATGTCAATGACCAACACCATGTTGAAAAGGTATCCTAGGGTCTTCGGAACTTAATATAGGAAATTTAGCTAAATATTGGGAAGCTCACAGAATACGGTGTCGCGGCTGCAGCGCAGCTGAGCAAGGAAGATGAACGCAGTGCGCTCCTCGCTCGGAGAGCGCAGGAAGGAGAGTACGATGATGGTATTGGCTCTTGCTTGGAATGCTCCCCTACAATTGTCGCTATGTTATTTGGCTAATTGAATTTCCGTCTAGAACTCATCCTCGAACAACTTGCTCGAAACCGTGTTTTCCTGTCCGATGAAGGCCTCGCGAAGCTCCGCTCGTCATACATAATCGTGGTCGGATGTGGAGGAGTCGGGTCGCATGCTGTGGCATCCCTTGCCCGCTCGGGTGTTTCCAAAATCCGCCTGATCGATTTTGATCAGGTCACGCTTTCCTCCTTAAACCGACATGCTCTCGCGACGCTGGCCGATGTCGGAACGCCAAAGGTGCATTGTATTCGCAAAAGACTGGAGCAGATCACACCGTGGGTGAAGTTTGACTGCCGGAACGAACTATTCGGGGGATCAGTCGCCGACAGACTTCTTGCGCCTTGGAGTTGGGACGACAACGACAAAGGTCACAAGCCTGACTATGTACTGGACTGCATCGACAACATTACGTCCAAGGTGGAGCTGCTTCATTACTGCCACTCGCACTCCATTCCCGTGATTTCGGCAATGGGAGCAGGATGCAAGTCAGACCCTACCCGTGTTACGGTTGGTGACATCTCACTTAGTACGGATGATCCGCTGTCGCGGAGCACTCGTCGACGCCTCAAGTTGTTAGGCGTCAATACCGGTATCCCTGTTGTTTTCTCCACTGAAAAGCCCGGTCCTGGTAAAGCCACTCTGCTTCCACTCAACGAGGCAGAATTCAGCAAAGGAGAAGTTGGTGAACTGAGTGTATTGCCCGATTTTCGGGCGCGGATCCTCCCTGTGCTGGGAACAATGCCTGCAGTGTTTGGCTACACTGTGGCGAACCACGTCATTTGCGACATTTCCGGCTATCCGATGGACTACAGCGTGGGTGGAAAGGGTCGTGATAAGTTGTACGATGGTGTCTTGGCAGCCTTGCAGGGAACGCTCGAGCGCTTGGCCCGGGCGGAGCATGGCCCTAGCCTTGTCGGGCTTCGCCTTCCCATCAGCAAGGATGACGTCGGATATCTGGTCGATGAGATCTTCCGCGGCAAGAGCGTGGTCAGTGGTCTCCCCAGTCGAGTCAGTCTTGTTCCCTGGGAGCGGCCTGAGAGAGGATTCGGACCTGATCCGGAGTGGATGAAGCAGGGGCAGACATTTGTGCCGCTTGAGTTGAAGGATTTAGTGTGTATGACTAAGGATGAAGCTGTACGGCATGAAAAGGAAGTGCTTCTGGGTGGTAAACGGCTGGAGGAGGTATACGATTCCAAGACGATTGAAATGGTGCAGAAGCGCCAACGGGAGATGGAGTTTCACGAGCAATATCGCTAATGACGCGGAGACATTGACGAGTAGCGCTTCTTCAGGGACCAAGATACAGATGGCACTAGCACCTGGCGCCAAAAGTTATAGCTACAAGTTGAAAACCTCGAGCCCTGCTTGGCTTTTGACAGTCTGACAGGCGGGTCTCAGGTGATGACCCACGAGTTTGATGGGGTCGAGGGAAGCCGGCTCCTGACATTTTCTTGGTCGCATTGCAGGCGTTAAACCCAGCTACAGATTTTGGTGAAAGCCTCATCTCGCCCAATGAGTGTTTGGTCTTTGAAGATAGCATAATTGGAGTAGAGACTACAATATGGGCTAGGATGTGAGTAATTTGGTACCATATCCAGACATGGCAGTCAAGTTCGAGCAAGGCAGGAGGATGTTCTGGCTGGGAGGACAAGATGGTTTGATATTGGACATAAGTGGCAGCTAGAAGATGTTGATAACAGCTAGACTGAATATAAACAAAGCCTAGAATACTTCAATTACAAGAAATACAGTATCAATGTGCCACTGAAGCATATGCCCAAAATTTCCAATCCGATTATCTCCTTTGCAGAATATTGTAAAGGTCTAATATATGCGGTAAAAAGTCCCCTGTCCTATCTCTCACATAATAGGAACATTCAGGCGTGGAGGAACCATGGGCGATAAAACAGCATAAACTGATATTAAATCAAGAATCAATCATTAATATGACCGCGCGTCCTTAGGTGCCCGAAGTCATAACTTACCTAAACTTTCCTGATAACCCCTGATCATCCGCACCCTCCAGTATTATAATTTTCCTTTATTCTAGCATGATCAGGTTCTTATAAAATATTCTTCTTACTAACTACCATAGATAATTCCTGTTCTAAGTCTAAGTATTGAACAGATAAGTCATAATAACACTGGCACCACAGCCACTGTCTGACAGAGTGTTGATCCAAATCTAATTAGAACTTATAAGATGATTATAACAATTGTATCCATCATGGTAAGTCGCGGGAAATAAACCAAATCTTTGAAAAGGTCTTCAAAAGTAGAGCTCGAACGTGAATGCTGAACAGAATTTGACTCTGATGGCTTATGGAGAGAGAGAGAATAGGTAGAAAAGAAAAGTAAAACATGTTGTACACGAGAACGTCCAGCGTTCAGAAATCAGAGTTTTGTTCTTCACATCCATCATAAAATGATGTCAAAGGAGGATCGACCTGTTATTGAGCATCCTGGTCTTGTATAGCAACGCCACATACGCTCTGTTCACGTTAGTATCCTCAGCGAGAATTGAATTGAAGCCAGGAGAAATTGGAAGTACCTGTCGTCTAGTCATAAATTCCTTGTACATCCCTAGCCAGATCTCTCGGAGATGGCAGTCATCTCGCTGACCAGTAGCAGGGTTGACCTCGCAAGGAGGCTGGGTCTGCTCGATCACATGTTGAGTAGCGGCAACCCATGGCTAGCGCCAGACTTAGCAGAGTCTCAAGGGGTCTGTAGGGTACCAAATCTTTGTTGTTAACGTACCTTGGGAACTGGCCAGTCAGAGAAATGGAGATATTTAGCTGTTCTTAGAACTTTTTCAGCATCCCACGGTTCATATGTATTTCCCAGATAGGCCTCATGGTTCTTGGCGCGGAATTCTCCCGTCAAAAGCATGTAAGGGCGGTGCGGTATAACGAGAGTATTATCTTCGTATAACTTGTTCATAATCTCCATGTCGTATTCTTCAGAAGGATTGTCCCATATCTCTTCCAACACGCGATTGAACTCATCCGTGGATGGTTGAATGAGCATAAGCCCGGATGTGAATACTCGTTCTTCCGGATAAAACCAGTAGGCCAGTGGCATGGCGACTGGAGCTGGTGGAAGTAGGAACAGCTCGTCCATCGTCTGCGTGTGTATTAGTTGCGATGAGAAACGCCATGACTGGGCTACGAACCTGCAGCAGGGTGGCGTCAGAGTCTAAGTTGAGAACTCTGTCATAATCTGTTTGATTAAAAGCGAGGAGCTTCGTGTAGCTCGTTGACCATGGTGCTGCGCTCATAGTTAGTGCTTACTCTTGCAGCGCAAAGAAATTGACTAACCTCCTCCTCCTCCCTTCATGATTACCTCGATTGGCCGAAGCTTCACGTTATAATTATCTCTAGCAAAACGAAGTAAACGTGCTTCAATTGAACTATCGTTCTCAGACACGAGAAACTTGGAGGGATACATCAGCACGAGATCGGCTTTTGTACCAAGACGGTGAAGGGCCTCGAAGATCATGACTGAATTGCAGAGATAAGACCTGTCTGTGGCATATTGAGTGTATGCAAAACGGGACCAGTCAATGCGCTCCCTAGACAGTCCGGTGTGATAAGACTCGGAAATTCGTGTAGCGTCCGGATGTTTTGGAAGTCGTAACAATGTCACAAATCCCAGAAGAGTAGACACAACTAAGAAAAAGGCGCGGAAGACTTTCGGAGTTCTTGTGAACATTATTCTGTAGTAGCTGATGGCAAGACTTGGAGAGCAAGTTACCCAAGAATCTTACTTCGAGTTTTGTGCATTGTTTTTGAAGGTCAAAGAGAATAAAAGAGTGTTGCAAGGTGCAATTATCGAAATTAAACCCCATCAGCCTCGAGGCAGCCCCTCGGCTGGTAGACAGCGGCGGGTGGCTGCGAATGGGCGGCTAAGCGCTGCCCATGCATGATCTGAAGCACGCTATAACCCACCGCAGCTACTGATTGGAGATAATGATGGCCCGTGCCCAGCACAGCGCTAACATGCACCTTTGGGTGGAGCCAACTACCAAGGGTTCAGGGTCCTTGCTCATTCCCAGCCTTGCCATCATCTCCAAGCACATCCAGCTGAGAGTCAACACTTACACTGGCTGAGGTAGGAGCGATTCACATCTTTACCATCAATCCACGATGTGAGCAAGCAATCGCATAGTGCTCCTACAACTTCGGCCTGACTCAGCAATAAGATTGAACTAAGCGCGAATGAATGCCATACATCCGGCTCAGTGGTCCCTGCACCTTCACTACCTTTGTACTTAGTACTACCTAGATGCACATCCATTGTTCACTGGTCAGTGGGTTCTCATGCAACCCCACTATAAGGACTCGTGCGGCTATGAATAACAACTGGCATATTAGGGGCGCTTAGATGGGCCTGTACTTAATCTAGTTGGCTGACAGTTATCCAACCTGAATCTCAATTCACGTATTTGTCTTTTGACGACTCAAGTTGACCTTTTCATCTGAGATGTGCGCAATTTCAGAATGCCATAAGTACTATTAGCAGTCATCCTAAGATTTGCGACATCAACACCTATTCACCTGTGTTTGGTACCGCAGCTCAGCCTGGAGGCGGCGGCGACTAAATTGGTTACTGAGTCAGTTTACACCAGAGTCTTCAATATTCATCGGTAGGCTACTTCGCTGTCCTGAGATGTCTGTCGAGTCAGGCCATTCAGAAACATGTCTTTGTTTTTTAGCATGGCTCAGGGTTTTCTAACAGATTTTCTTCCTTAGGGATGCGGCGACGACAGCAGCAGTGCTTTTTTGCCTTTTGGACCCTCTGCATCGAATATGTTCTTTGCTCAGGTCCCCGAGTGATGCCCTGGTCGAATAAGAAGTTTGGGCCCGATGGCCCCTGGCAAGCGGTCACAGTGCAAATTGGGAGTAACTACACCGAAATCGTTGTTCCTTCCTCGGAAGTGGCTTTGTACCCGGGAGGTAGTTGGGAAAGTAAGATCCTATTATCTTCAATTTGCGACAACAAAACACTCTCGTCCGTGTGTTATGGGAATATAGCTGGCCTCTTTGACAGCGACATATCAGCCAGCCTCGATAATACATCGATAGAGATGCCTCCATACGGGACATGGGGTGATGTGGATTGGGGTTTCACGGACGCAGCGCCTGTTTACGCAAAAGCAAGACGAGCAACAGACTATGTAACCATCAGCGGCTCACCCGTACCTGATGTTGATATGATCATAATATATTCGGGGTGGCAGACTTACCCTGGTGGGCAAGCATACCCACTGGAGGTGGGGATCTTATCCCTTGGATGCCCAGCTATCAATCAAACATTTGGAAATGTGATCAAGATTAACACAACGTTTGTCACCAGCTATTTCTATGAGCAAGAGGGATCGCTAAACATACCATCTTATTCTTACGGTATGCATATTGGCTCCGCAGCACTAGGAATTCCTGGATCGCTGCTTTTAGGGGGTTATGATCAAAATAGAGTGATGGGCGAGGTGTCCTCCCAGGCATTTTCAAGTGGAAGCTTCCCAATTGAGCTGCTCGATATGAATATCGGAGTAGCAGAGGGTGGGTCTCCTTGGACTTACACGAACAAAACAGGGCTATTGGCACAGGGTAATTCCTCCCTGGACTCTGGTCTCAGCGTCATTGTGGACCCAGCAAACCCATATATATATCTGCCTCAAAGCTCATGCGATGCGATAGCCGCTGAGTTGCCTGTGACATACCACCCTGAATACGGCCTTTACTTTTGGAACACATCTGACTCACAGTACGATACCATTGCAACTTCGCCAGGTTACCTAGGTTTCCAATTCAGCAAGGATAACCTCAACAACGTCTTCATCACGATTAAAGTTCCCTTCGCTCTTCTGAATCTCACACTAGAGGCCCCACTTGTGAAGACACCAACGCAATATTTCCCGTGCATGGCTACCAATAACACTCCTGTTCTAGGACGTGCTTTCCTTCAAGCAGCTTTTATAGGAGTCAATTGGCTTGGTGGAAAGTGGTTTCTAGCTCAAGCACCAGGACCGGGAGGCTCCTTCATTGTCGATACCGTGTCAATCGGTGACAATGACTCCACTATTTCGGCAACAACAAACAGCTGGGAATCCACCTGGAAGAGCACCTGGAAGGCAATACCTGCAGGTTCTACCTCGAATGCAAATACGACGAACGCAAATACAACAAGTACATCAATGAGCGGTCCATCTACTGACGGGAAAGGTTTCTCAGTGGCTGTCAAAATCGGTATAATTGTCGGCAGCACTATTGGCGGGCTGTCGTTAATTGCTGTTCTCTCTGGGATCTACATCCATCACCGTCGACAACAAAAGAAAGCATTCACTTCAGACGAAAGCTATACGACAGAACACACAGATCACGGATCCTCGGCGCATCAGTTGATGCCTGTGGAGGCACCCGATAACATATGGAACCAAGTAAACGAGTTACAAAGCCAAGAAAGACATGAGATGGGCTCGGAAAGAGGGCCCTTCTATGAGCTGGGCCCGGAAAAGGGTGCTTTGGTTGAATTAGATCAAAGGCCCAGATCTCCGGAAGGCCCTTTTGAGCTACCAGCACAAACATCCGTCTCGTGGTCTTCTAATGTTATCTAAAAGCGCCTGATTTCTGTAATGTACATAGCTGACTGTGTTTTTGCCATACCTTGATAGATTCAAAGCAGGTTATATTGGTTTACACACCCTATCATCATCATACTGACTATACTTGTATGTAAAATGACTATACAATTTCTGTACTAGACCTCTGATCACGATCCAGTCCAATAAAAATCCTTCAAATTTACACTTGACACTTAAGATGATGTATGTCCATATATACGACATGTAGCATATAGAACGGGTGGTACTTTATATAGTGTTGGATAAACCAAAAATGCGGTTGGTATACGTATATAGCAACACCACTCCAGAGTTCTATTTTATTCATGTTGTCCCGACTGCTATCTATCTGCTCAGCCTCGCACACTGAGTAAGAATAGTGCGCATTAAATGCTCGATTTGGACCCTGACGAGTCGCGCCTGCCTAGAATAGAACACCTAAACCATGTTTGGACTAGTAGTGCTCAGGCCAAGAGGGACGGCACCCTAGCACTAACCCAAAAATGGCTAAATAAGGGAAACACTCATGTTTCGAGTAAGGCGTCACAAGACTGCGGGAACTCTGTCCCTTCCACATCTTGGGTCCATCGCTCCATTCCGCCATCTGGGGCCATTTCATTATCTCTCTTTCACCGACGCGGCTGGGCCCGGACTGTGTCCTCCCTTGCCATTCCACATCGAAGGCCGTGTTGTCGATCGGTTCTGATCGTCGCTGCTTTCCCTTTCTTTCTTTTTTTTCCCTTTTCTCTCTGTTGCTTTTCGTCCATTATCCATAGCCTCATTCCTGATTTAGCATTCCCTACAACATCACCAACAACCTCTCTCCCCCCCCACACTCGTCCTCCGGTATCAGACAAAATAACACTTGTCCGCCTCCCAAAATGAATAATTATCACGACACCGAAAGCCTCGAATACTCCTCCGACACCTCTGATGATGGCCGCTTCTCTCCCCACCCTACGGGTCGCATTAAGCGCTACACAAGACCCTTGATCGATTACGTGCGCAACGAATGGCAAACTAACGCCAAATACTCCCATCTCGCCAACCCCGACCAGCCCTCTGAACCTTCCCGATTCGTCCAACTCTTCCTGTCTATTGTCACTGCGCCGCGCTTCCGTCGCTATGTCGTGGTGTACTTGGTCCTGGTCATAACGTGTCTGCTGGGATGGCTGTATATCCTCTCTCCGCGGCTAGCGGAGCATGCGTCGTTGTTGCGGGCGCTAGATCCAGAGGTGAAGGAGGAAGTGGGTGGATGGTTTGGAACGAACGCTTTTCCCGGGTTTGATGATGTTGTGCAGGTGAAAAAGTTGGATAAGGAGCTTTTGCCTGAGGGGGAGGAACGGCTGATTGTTGTGGGTGATGTGCAGGGATGCATGGCAGAGTGTATGCCCCCTTTTCACCCCCCTTGATGCAGTTCATGGTATTTGAATGCATGCATGGATCGCTGACATACAAAATTGTTGATAGTGGACCGCCTCCTCGAAGAACTCCTCTTCGATCCGACCAACGATCACCTCATCTTTACTGGAAACATGATTAGCCAGGGCCCCAACAGCACTGACGTTGTCGACTTCGCCCGAAAGTATTCCGCGTCCTGTGTGCGCGGAAACAACGAAGATCGCGTCCTTGTTATGCGCCACAATATGATCGAAGCTCAGACGTTAACTGATACCTCTTCCGATCAATACCTCGATGGGCAGTCTACAGAGCAGGCTAAGAATGAACGTGATCTCGCGCGTGTCCTATCAGACGAACAAGCAGACTGGCTAGACGCCTGCCCAGTTATTCTTAACGTGGGACAGATTCCTACCATGGGACAGGTTGCGGTCGTGCATGGGGGACTGATTCCGGGTGTGGATCTGAATCATCAGGATCCGTATAGCGTGATGAATATGTTGACCATCGACTTGGACACCCATATGCCTAGCCCAGAGCGGGATGGTATGATGTGGACTAAGGTTAGTCCCCTTTATAAAATTTCCGTACCATTTGTTTTGAGACAATAATACTAATGACAGTATAGTTCTTCAACAAACATCAATCCGTCGGCTATTCAAGCTCTAAAAGCTCAAACAAAAACGACGACGAAGATGCAGGTGCCGTCAAAGCCACCACCGTCATCTACGGTCACGACTCGGAAACAGCCCTCAACATCAACACCTATACAAAGGGTATTGACACCGGCTGTATCGCCGGCGGAAAACTCACCGCTTTCGTGATTAGTTCTTCTGGAGAGCAGAATATCATCCAGGTCAGGTGTAACAACTACCTACCCTGATTGAGTGACATTTGTTGTGTTCCGTCTTGTCGTGTATAGAATTTCGTCGCTGCATACTACTTTGCATAGTTTGCATCTTTCTCTCTTTTTCTCTCTGCTGGTTTGAAGGGACTAGGATTGATTGATTGATCGATTGGATTGGATCTGGTAGGGATGGTGTATTGTTTCATGGTTCATCTTCTGTTCGCTTGTTTCTGCATGTGGAGCATCGGGGTTGGAGTTTCGGCTTGTTTATCGCATGGGCCGGTTGTCGAGAATATGATGGTGTGCTTGTCTATATAGGTAAATCTGTCTCTACGCAAGATATAGTATACAGTACTTTATTATATTCAATCCAATTCCATTTGTATTTCTATACCTGTTCGAGCCGGACTTTTTGTTGACCCGACCCGGCCCCGCATTCCGCCGCCCTTCGATTGCACAATGTGGGTTTGTTCTGATATGATGGGTAGAGCAAAGTCGTGGCATCTGTTGTCTCGTCTGCTCCGAATAGCAAGCGATAATCCTCTTGGACTAAAGCGGTGCTCGGAACCAATTCTTTATGAAAAAGCCGAGGCACCAAACCGATGCTGGAGGGTTTGCTTTACCTAGTGTACATGATACTGCTACATACAGTAAGGGTGAACGAGAACCTGTGGGGCGGGAAGCAGTTCGGGAAAATGAGCGACTTATCTACTTACTACGTACGTAGTTTTCCTACCACTTAGCTATAAACCGTCTAGATTGACTCCTGGCTCCGTGCTAACCCTAGCCCAGCTGAACTTCCCATTGACCCTCCTGCGTCAGCCTTTGAATTTAGTCTCCCTCTCAAAACCTCCAAGGGATGAAACCGGCTTATGAGATTGCGAATTTGCGACCCGATATGTCTCCCCCAGTCATTTCACACCTCTCGAGGCCGTCGGACTCCACATGAGTGAACCTAAAGCAGGCAAGTGGGACCCAAAAGAGGCTGTCCTCTCAATACTCCAAGATACTGTCCTCGAAGGCTCAAGCCGGCTCGGTCTGGGCCGAAGGTTCCACTCCTCTAGTTCTCACCATCCAGGGGAGCCTTTTGAGTCCGCCGAAGTTTACATCCATTCATCATCCCAGCTGGGCAGGATTAGTGAAAGGTATCGCTGCTGCACCTGCCTCATGGTTGGTTCCTTCACCACCATGGCCCTCTTTTTTGTTATTAGCTCGCGGACGACTCCTGGTCCTCCTTCACCCACCCCCTCTAAAGATTCCAAATCCTTTTCTCTTTCTTTTCTTTCAGTATCTATCGATCCTGTCTGAGGCTCCTCCTCTCCCCCTCTAACCTGTTCTTATCTTTATTTCTTGCCAGATTGCCTTCTTCAAACGCAATGGCTGCTCAAAAGGCCGTTTTCACCGTCTCGGCTCAGGCCACTCAGTTAGGCAATCGCATTTCGGTGCATATGCTGGACTATCTCAGCACTGAGCACGACCTACCGGACGGTTTTCGTGAACTATCACAGACTTTCCTAGATACCTGTCGTGCTCTATGGGCCATTGATGCGGGTCTCACCGAATCCACTGCTGCCGGTCGCGCTCTGCCCGATGTGATCGTGGAGGAGGTGGCGAAGAAATTCATGGCCGCGTATCGCGATTTCCAGAGTCTGGACAAGGTCGTGACCAAACTCATCCAGTATGAACATCGTGGCGCCCTGGGCAGGCTTCAACGCGGATGGAATCGTCCAAGCCTCGAACTGCACCGCATTCGCGAGTCATTGAAAAAGACAACCGAAACACTTCAAATCAGCGTCCTCGCCTTTCACTGGTCTCTTGGCGAACAGCCATTCATGGAGGAATCAGTGGGCATTGGCTACGCCGGGCTGGCAGCCGCACTGGACCGTATGGCCAAAGGTCGGTCGGTGATGGGCATCAATAAGGCTAAATCTCTAGAAAAGGTATCAAAGGAGGTGGCCACTTCGTTGTCATCCGCGTCAGTCCCCTCTGTGCCCCCCAAAGAGTCCCCAGTACAACTCTCGGTTGCGATAGAAAACCCTCAGTCCAATGCCGATGACATACTCTCCTCCGTGCTTTCGCTTGACTCCCTCCTCACTGCAAATGACAATGGCCAGGACCATCTTTCATTGCCCCCCGTTAACTCCCGTCCTCAGCCTCTGCGACTGAATGGGAATCCTGTGCGGACGAGCTCGCGCGAGCCACAAGCGGAAATTATCACGCCTCTCGACGATAATATATCTGGGGATACCCTCACATATCACCGGCTATACGAGCCATCAGCTGGCCCGCTCCATCGCACCCCTAGCCGAAACAGTGGAGCTAGTGCGACGCGACTGCGCGGTGCGTTAGCCTCCGCCGTCCGGGGACGGAACCACAAGTTGCTAGAGCAGTTATTGGACAGTGGAGTGTCGCCCAATCTTGGGGAGCATATTCATCCGCTCAACGAGGCCGTGCACCAGCACGATTTTCAGGGCATGCGCCTGCTTCTGCAGTTTGGTGCAAACCCAAACGAACCCGACCGGCAGGGAAAGACGCCCTTGCTTGTCGCAGTGGATGAGTCGTTTGTCGACGGGGCGAACTTGCTACTGAAGTATCGCGCTGATTCCAACTATGCATCGGAGCCGGGACAGGACTCTCCCTTGAGTCGTGCACTGGCGAAGGGAAAGCTCAATATGGTGCAGCAGCTGCTTGCGCATGGGGGGAATGCAAATGCTGAAACGCCAAGCGGTAGCACAGTGCTAGTCGAGCTTATCAAACAACAGGCGCCACCGAAGCTAATCACTCTCTTACTAGACGCCGGCAGCGACCCAAACAAGAAGGGCTGCCAAGGGAGAACGGCACTCAACGAGGCGGTGCAGACCGAGCAGATTGCCGTCGTAACGACACTGCTCGAACACGGCGCCAATCCGAATCTCCCTGGACCGGAGCATGTCCTATGGCTAGCTATCTCCCGGCCAGCATGTTTGCGTCTTCTGTTAAATAGCGGGGCCGACATCAGAAAGACCCCAGGTCTCATGGAACAGGCGACCAGCATGAACAATATCGAAGCTGTTCGCACCCTGCTGGAGGTTGGACTCGATCCGAATGCCAAAAAGGACGGTACCTACACGCCCCTCTGCTCTGCCATTCGCGACAATAGGGCCGACATCTTGAAACTGCTGCTGGAGCACGGTGCGGACCCAAACGTCATGGCATCCGAATATCCCGCTTGGAAATGTGTCACCCACAACCGACTCCATTTCCTACCTGTCCTTATTGCGGCTGGTGCTGATCTTTTTCAACCACCTGAAATCGTAGAGCTGGCTGTGCAAGTCAACAACACTGCGGCCCTGGAGTGGCTGGTTGAGCAGGGAGGTGCGAACGTGAATGACCGCAACGCACAAGGTCATACTGCACTGACAACGGCCATCCGTGAGAACCGGTCGGAAATGCTCAGCTACCTGCTCGCACATGGTGCCAACCCAGCTCAACGCGGGCAAGATTGGCCTGTATGCATGGCCGTGCGGTCTCCGGCTCTGCTTCAGAAACTGCTTCCGCTGGTCCCTGATCTCTCTGCTTACAAGGGCGTCATGGAGATGGCCGTGCTTGCCAACCAGCTTGAGAGCATTAAACTGCTGCTCGCTGCTGGTACCAGTGTCGAGTGTAAAAACGGTGGCGTCTTCTCCCCACTCACTACGGCCTTGCGAGAGCGACATGAAGACATTGTGAGGTTCCTGCTGGAGGAAGGAGGTGCCGATCCAAATGCCCCCGGCGAGCATCTCCCTCTCGTGAAAGCAATCCGCCGGACCCTCAATGGTAACTTTTCCATGATTGAGCTTCTGCTTGAGAAGGGTGCTGACCCCAATAAAACTTACCGGCACTGGAATGCTATCATGCAGGCGATTGAGTATCGGGATCTGCCATTGTTGCATCTGCTAGTTAAGAAGGGAGGCGGAGCTGATCTCACGCAGCACGATGAGACAGGCCAGACTGTTTTGGAAATGGTGGATTCAGGGTGGCCTGAGGCCGTGCAGTTCCTTCTTGACAATGCGCGCCCCTAATTTGTAGTCTTTTATGACGCTTGAGAGTTTTAGAATCTGATATAGGCCTAACTCATATCATAATACGTAATAATGCTAATATTGTCACATGAGGATAAATTTCAATCAATAAGCTCACTTGTTCCTGGTCTAGGTCGGGATCAGCATCTGTTCCGCCAAAATAATAAACAAAATAAATATGAAAATAAAAGAAACCGGTAGCCGCAGGAAGACATGCTAAATCAAGGTTACAGAAAGATAAGGAAGCAATGAAAGCAGTAGCAAAGAGACACAAAAGTACACATTTTAGGGATTGACTTCAAGTCAATTGAATTCATATTCTTATACCAGATATTATATGCTTAGGAAACTGGAACTTTTTTTTTTTTTTTTTTTTTTTCACAGTTTCGGTACTAGTTACTCTCCCACATCGTAGTATTAACCAGAGAAAGTGGGGCCAGGCTAATCCTCTGTATACTAGTATATACATAAATATAATTGTAGATATACTATACGCTTTTGGCAGGCCTCTGTACTACGTGAAAGTCCCCGGAAAAGACCTTAAGTAGGCGGATAGTAAGTTTTGCAGTTTACTGTGATCCCTACTATTTGATTTATCTATTCTAGAACTCCCTGCATATGGTTCTCTTAGTAGAAAATGCGAGCCGGCTTATCTATTATCCCGGTTCAGTCTTACATTCCGCCGCCTGCTTTGCCTCATAGTCTGCGGCTTCGTTCCCTTGACTGCCACGTGAGCAGGGATCCAATGTATTGTGAAGTCTGTACCTTGAATGGCTCAGAATCTGTCAGCCTGAGTTTCATAACGCTGTCAGAGCACAGAATCACATGCACGATTAGTGAGGCCACATAGATCCATTCCATTTGTAGATACGGTAAAAAGGTGATGAGAAAGGAGGGATTAGTATACTGATATTTCAAATATGTTATGATTCCTGAATTATTCTATCGGCTGTTGCGGAAATATATCAAGTTACTGTGTTGTTGCAGGTTGTTCTG